GGGGCGGGTGTGGGAGGCAACCAATCCATGTGTCTCTCTCACATCGATGTTCCTCTCTCTGTGTCTCTCCCTCTCCCTCCCACCCTCTCTAAAAAGCAACGGAAGCGTGTCCTGTAGTGAGGATGAACAAAACAAAACAAATCAATAAAAACACATCCTCAGGTGAAGATTTTAAAAAAGTGTTAGAGTCATACATTTTACATTGCATGTTTTTATCACAAAGAAAGGAAAACCAGGAGAAGGATGCCTTGTGTGTACATGGGAGCGGGCCGAGGCCGTGTCTCTGGGAGACGTCACATGGCAGCCAGCCCTCGTGGGGTGGGGGCTTGATTGATTGACAGTGGGGGGGGGGGGCTTGATTGATTGACAGATGGCAACAGTGGGTGCCTCGGGCGGGTGCAGGCAGCCTGAGTGGGGGGCACCGCATGTGAACTGAGAACTGTGGGACACACTTTCCCAAGTTACCCATCAGCTGCATCTCTGTTCCCCTGAACTCGGACACAGTCCTGGGCTGGAGACGGACAAGATGAGGGGACAGGACAGAACCTCAGGGCGGGGGTGAGGGAGGAGTGGGAACAGGCCCCCTCTCTCTGCAGGAGGGTGAGGTCCCTACCCTCCCCCCCTCCTGCTCTGCGGTGGGGGGCGGGTGCTGACTGTGGGCCAGCCTTGGAGAAGGGACCTGGGTTCCTCTGCTCCCGGAGACTCCGTGCCCTGCGCAGCGGGGGGTGGGGGATGCAGAGTCTTGATTCCCAAATTGGAAGCACATTAATAAGCGGGGGAGAGGGGGGAGGCCCCATCCCCCTCCTGGTTGACTCTGCGAATTGCTTCCTCCTGTAAAACCCGACCCTGCTCCAGGGGGGAGGTGCTCCCTCCCAGGCCGGAGGGTGTGGCCGCTTGGCAGGGTCCCTGGGGGTCCTTGGGCCGAGCTGGGGAGGCGCCGTGCCCATCCCTCCCCACTCTCTCGGGCCGCTAGAGCTTGGAGGGTGGGAGGCCTGGCAGCTGGAGAACAGCTGGCCGGGCTGTGGCTGCGTGGGAGGAGGGGGAGCAGGAGGCTCCCTTCGCTCTCCCCACTGCCGCCCTCCTCGCCCCTGGCCGGCCGGCCCAGCCAGGTTTGGGGTGGGATTCGGGACGGAGCTGCTGGGTTCAGTCCTCCCACACTGAGGGCTGGGCCCCTGCGAGAGTGGACAGCTGCCGGCCGCCAGACCCGCAGGGACACCGGGCCCCGTGGGGACACCTGCCTGGACTTGCCTGTCTGCCTGCCGTCCACCAGGGCAGAGGGGAGCCAAGCCCAGGTCCGGAGGCCGAGGGGCCCAGGGCGGGGGCCCGTCCGGAGCTGTCCGGCCAGTTGTTCCAGCCGCCTGGCCCCGGGACAGGGAGTGGGCGGCAGGTGCCCCTTATCTCCCGCCTCCGCTCCCATCCCCGCCCCGCCCGCCGCTGACCTCTGCCGCCCAGGCCGCGGTCAGGCCGGGGAGAGGTGGAGGGACCTAGGGGTCCCCGGCCATCGCAATGGCGGGAGCAGGGGGCCTTGCTGAGGGTCGGAGGTCGGCTGTGAGGAGGGGAGGAGTGAGAGCAGATGACAGGAGTGGGGTGTCCTGGACATGCATGGTGGCTGCCAGCCTCAGGAGGGCCTTCCCTTCTCTCCAGTCTGCCCTGGCCTCTGGGTCTTGCTGCCATTTGTTCCTGCTTTTCTCCTCACCACCCCTGTCCTCCCCTCCTCTCTTTCTCCTCACCTCTCCCCTTCACTCCCCTCTTCTCCTCTTCCCTCCACTCCCTCCTCTATTCTCCCCTCCTCTCTCCTCATCTCTCCCCTTCACTCCCCTCCCCTTCTCTCCTCTCCTCACCTCTCCCCTCCTCCTCCCCTCCTCTCCCTCCCCTCCCTTCCTCTTCTTTGTCCTCTCCCTTCTCCTCCTCTATTTTCTCCTCCTCCCCTCCTCTCCTCCCCTCCCCTCTCCTGTCCTGTCCTCTCCTCTGTTCTCTGTCTCCTGGCTTGCCCACTCCTGTATCTGAGTTTATTGATCTTTCCCCTTCGGGACCCTCTAATCCCCTCCAAACTCCCCTAGACGCTCCCCTCCCCTCCACCGGCCTGTCCCTCACTCGGGTCTTTCCTCCTCTCCCCTCTTGGTGGCAAACCCAGCCAGGCAGCGGTTCTGGCCACCTGGGCAAGTAAGGACAGCGGCTAGGGTGGGAACCGCCACCCTAAACCCTACCTGTACAGGGAGGTGAGACCCGAGTCTGGGCTGGGGCGCCACCCAGGGGGCCTGCTCTCTCACCCCCCCCTCCCCCCGCCCCACACACTGAGCCCCGTATTTGCCTCTGTCCAGCCCTGCAGCTGCGGAACCGCCCTCAGCCCTGCTGGGCCGTGTCTGGGTGTGAGCAGAGGGGCGGCACACACTGGCCTCTGGCTTCATCCACCGAGGACCAGAGCGGCTGCTGGCCCAGGCCCCCCTGGTGTCCACGGGGGAGCCCGGAGCGGCTGCTGGCCCAGGCCCCCCTGGTGTCCACGGGGGAGCCCGGAGCGGCTGCTGGCCCAGGCCCACCTGGTGTCCACGGGGGAGCCCGGAGCGGCTGCTGGCCCAGGCCGCCCTGGTGTCCACGGGGGAGCCCGGAGCGGCTGCTGGCCCAGGCCGCCCTGGTGTCCACGGGGGAGCCCAGAGTGGCTGCTGCCACCACTGCCGTGGGCATGCTCAGCCAGGGGACACATTCCCGTGTGCGTGGCACCCACACGCACACCTGACACACGCGTGCTGTGCACGGCAGAGGCGGGCCACCTGTGCGCGTGTTAGTGCCTGTGCCGCACCAGTGTTCCCGGGAGAGGAGACGGGCATGTGCCAGGGCCACGGGGGTCCCTCTCCTCTCCTTGACTGTCCTTGCGGCCACCCCCTCCCCCTCACCAGCTGCCAGCGGTCCCAGCCAGGCCCCACCCCCGCCTGTCCCGCCGAGCTGCTGTGTTCGCCATATTTGGCCAGTCTTCTGCGGGGGGCGGGGCAGGGCTGACATCACCCTGGGGGGGGCACCGCCTGCGGGGGGAGGCGGACGGGCTTGGGGGAGGCAGGAAAGTTGCTTTGAAAAGTCGGCAGCCAGGCGCCCCCATGTCCCGGGCCTCCCCTGCTCTGAGCGAGACGCAGGAGGATTTGGGGGGGGGGGGTGGCTGAGGACTGGGGGGTGGGAGGGTCTCAGCTCCCTGCAGCCCCCCCCCTCGCTGACAGCTGTGACAGCATCAGCCCGGGGAGAGCCTGGGCCCCACCTTCTTCAGCACAGGAGTCTCTGCGCCGAGGCCCTGCTCCCCCGTTTTTATTCAAGAGCTGGGCCGGGGCTGAGGCGGCCGTGATGAGTTCGGTCCTGGGTGGAGACTGGGTACCGTGTGTGGCTCCTCTGCCCGGCACCCGCACCGAGCTGCTCCCGCTGCCCGGGGGGCCCTCCCGAGCGGCTGCAGCAGTGCCGGGCCTTGAGGGTGCCCCTGGTCTGGACCCCATGGGGCACACGGGCGTGGTTGCCATGACAGTTTGGTGTCCTCTCTAGCACAGGTGCTGGAGCTCTGAGCCCCATCTCCTTGGTTAAGAGGCTGGAGCCAGATTGCCTGGGTCCAGGACCTGCTCTAGCACTTACTAGCTGTGTGTCCTTGGGCAGGTTGCCTAACCTCTCTGTTCACTGGTTTCCTCGCGTGTAAAGTGGGAGCGATAATAGTGTCTCTCTCAGAGGTGACGGTGAGCGCCACGTGAGTCAGTGTGGGTGACACCGGAGCGGGCCTGCCTTTGGCACCAGCTGCCGTCCGTAGCCGGATGAAGTCCACACTCGGGGTCCATCTGACGTGCAGGCTCCGGGCCCTCCCACCCGCGCCACTAGCCACCTCCTTCAAGCTTCCTACGCCAACAGGCGTCCCCACGGGAGACCCTCCCCCCGTTCAGCAGGACCCGGCATCCATGTCTGAGGGGGCAATTCCCTTCTGGGTTTCTGAGGGCCCCCCATTCCCGCCCGCCCCTGCTTGTCCTGCAGCCCAGAGCGAAGCCCCAGGATCTGGCATCCCAGCGCCCTGGTATGGACTGGGCGTGCAGACCCCGAGGCTGACGGGGTGGGGTTTGGGGCTGCCTTGCGGGGGGGCCTGGAGGGTGTAGTCTAATGGGGGGTGTAAATTAAGCCTGGCGTTCACGGAGCCGAGGTACAGAGCCTGGCCCATCGCGGGGGGAGGCGGGGCGGGCTGTGGGCGGTTTATGGGCCGCGGGGCCGGAGGTGCGGGAGCAGGAAGTGGATGGGGAGCGGGCGGGCTGGGTAAGGCTGTGGGCCTGGCACCTCCTCGCTGCTCCCTCGCCAGCCAGCGGCTCCTGCGATTCCTGGGGCGCTTCCTGCCCGAGTGTAGCTTCCTTGGCAGGGCTCTCGAGAGTTATCTGTGGGCAAGGCACCTCCCCCTTCCTCACCCGCGGCAGGCCCTGGCCGGGTTGTGTGGATGCCGGGGAGAAGGAGGGGTGGGGAGCCCCGAGACAGGACGGAGGAGCTGGCCGGGGAGCCCCTCAGAGCTGGACGCCTGGGCTGCCCTCTGTGCTCGTCTGCCTTTGACAGCGTGTGACCTGGGGCGCCTGTTTCCCTCACCTGATGCGGGCCCCCCGCCTGCCTCCCGCCTCGCACTGCGGGGGAATGAACGTGCGAGTGCTCTGCCCGCACACGGGCGGTGCGGAGAGCGCGTTGTTATTGATCGCCACGCGTGTTATGAGTCAGGCACTGGTTGGGCTTGTGATCCAGTGCACCCCTCACCACCTCCGGAGACCCTTTCCTCGTGTCCCGGACCAGGGCTCGAACGGGTGAACCTCGTCCCGGTCACTCAGCCCCGCATACCCTGGCCCAGGGCGCCGGCCCCTCCGGAGGTGCGGAGCTGGGGACCCTGCCCTCACCTCCCGCGCTCTCTGCCGCAGGCCGCCCGGTGGGCTCAGGCCCAGAGTCCAGAGTAACCAGCACAATAGCGTCCAACAGCTGGACCGCCAGCAGCAGCCCCGGGGACGCCCGGGAGGATGGGCCCGAGGGCCTGGACAAGGGGCTGGACAACGATGCCGAGGGCGTGTGGAGCTCGGACATTGAGCAGAGCTTCCAGGAGGCGCTGGCCATCTACCCGCCCTGCGGCCGCCGCAAGATTATCCTGTCGGAGGAGGGCAAGATGTACGGTGCGTGTGTGCGGGCGGGCGGGCGGGTGGGCGGGCGGGCGGGCGGACGGAGGGACCCAGGGCCCGGGAGCAGCTGGCCTCCCGCCCCACCCGCTCTCGGCCCCTCACCCAACCGGTTTGGCCAAGCCCAGGGCTGCCAGCGGGCGGGCGAGTCTGTGCCTGTGCGCAGCCTGTGTGTCTGGATCCTCCTCGTAAACACGCCGGGCCTGCCCTCCGCCAGCGCGGGCCCACACCTCGCGCCCCATCTGCCTCTCCTCCTCCCGCTGCCCCTGGAGGTTTCGGGGTGACTCAGTGGGCCCAGGAAACTGGGTCAGTCCAGGGTGCACCAGGCTGGGCCTGGGAGAGGGGCCCTCCCTGGCAGGACGCAGGGGGCCTGAGGGGTGAGGGGTGAGGCCTGGGGGGGGGAGCCCCACTTGCGGAGTCCCCCCCCCCGGCGGGTGGGAGGGAGGCTGCAGGCCAGGGGGCAGCCACCGTGAGGGGCTGCGCTGGGAAGAGGCTGAGAAACGGCCATGCCTCAGCCCGCCCCACGGGGACACGGCCTCCCCCTCTGCCACCTGCCCACCTGCCGCTCCAGGAAGGAGTGTCCCGTCCTGCCCAGGGCTGAGGGCTCTCCCGGGCTGCATTTTTGGGATAACTCAGCCCCTCTTGGCTTGGCTCCTTGCCAGCTCCCTCCAGCTCTCCCTGTCAGCCCCGCTGAGCAAGGAGGCCCAGCCTCTCCCTCCCGCACCCCGCACCCAGCACCCCGCACCAGGCTGCATAGGAAGGAGCGGAGGGCTGCCCCAGTGAGTCCCCTGCCCCACCCATTGCCCCACCCATCCCAGCACAGCTCCCCGGCCACTGGGTCGGCAGATGTTCTGGGTGGTGCCTTGCATGGGCGGGAGCTCCATTGCCCCCTCCCCGATGGCGGGCAGCCCCACGGGTATTTTTGGAGGGGGTGGAGTGGAGGAGTGGGATGGAGAGGGGCAGGCAGGAAGGGAGGAGCAGTGGGGCTGGTTCTGTCATCAAAGAGGAATTTGAAGAATGTGGCCATTCCGGGGAGACTCGGAGGGGCAGGGGGCCTGGGTTTGGGGGTAAGAAGTACACCCTGAGGATCCTGACAGACAATTAGTCACGTGTCCACACCCCCCTCCCGGCCACATCCCCACTGAGGCTGCCAGGCAGGTGGGGCTCAGGGCGCAGGCCCTGGTGACCTGCAACCTGGTGACAGGCTCAGTGACACGTCCTGACACAGACCGACTGTCAGCGTGGGAGGTGCTGGGACCATCCTGCTGCCGAGGCAGAGGAAGGGGCTTGTCCTGGCCTCCCCTCGGTGCAGGGACTGCCAGACATGTGGCCACTGAGACAGGCTGGCCAGGCCCCCTCACTCAGCGATTCCCCTCCCTCACACCGGGCCAGGCCCCCTCATGGGGCACCCCGGCCAGGCCCCCTCACTCAGAGATACCCCTCCCTCACATGGGCACCCCTGCCAGGCCCCCCCTCACACGGGCACCCTGCCCGGGCCTCCCCACACGGGCACCCCGGCCAGGCCCCCTCACACGGGCACCCCGGCCAGGCCCCCCTCACTCAGAGATACCCCTCCCTCACACGGGCACCCCGGCCAGGCCCCCTCACGGGGCACCCCGGCCAGGCCTCCCCACATGGGGCACCCCGGCCAGGCCCCCTCTCATGGGGCACCCTGGCCAGGCCTCCCCACACGGGGCACCCCGGCCAGGCCCTCCCACACGGGCACCCCGGCCAGGCCCTCCCACACGGGCACCCCGGCCAGGCCCCCCTCATGGGGCACCCCGGCCAGGCCCCCCTCACTCAGAGATACCCCTCCCTCACACGGGGCACCCCGGCCAGGCCCTCCTCACACGGCACCCCAGCCAGGCCCCCCTCACGGGGCACCCCGGCCAGGCCCCCTCACACGGGCACCCCGGCCAGGCCCCCTCACGGGGCACCCCGGCCAGGCCCCCCCACATGGGCACCCCGGCCAGGCCCCCCTCACGGGCACCCCGGCCAGGCCCCCCTCACGGGGCACCCCGGCCAGGCCCCCTCACTCGGGGATCTGCACTCAGAGGCTGGCAGTGGTGCCGGCCGGAGAAAGGAAGGCGGCTGGGCCGGGAGTGAGGGAGTGAGGGGCCCAGCTGTCCTGCCCTCGGGCCACACCTGCCCCTGTCTGTCCTTCAGGGAAACCTGTCCAGCCCTGACATGGGCCTGCCGTCCCCTCCCTCCCGCCCTCCCGCCCTCATTTGCCCTGCCCCTCCCCTCCCCCAGGGCAGCCCGGACCTGGGGGGGAGCACCTGGCCACTGCTGTGCCCTGGGGGGCGGAGCGGGGCAGCCGGGCGTCTGCAGCCAGCACTGTTTCCCGCCCCGCAGGCCGGAACGAGCTGATCGCGCGCTACATTAAGATGAGGACGGGGAAGACCCGGACGAGAAAGCAGGTAGAGGCTGTTGATGTTGTGGCCCCTCTGTCCTGCCCCAGCTGCCCCCTCCGGTGACCCACCCCCCAGCTGCGTCGTCGCCCACGACTGGCTTCTCTGACCACCCACCACCCGCCCAAGTCCGGGTTCGGTGACCGGCGAACCGCCCGCCCCTGTGGCAGCTCCATGGTCACGCTGAGCGGCCCTGGCCGGCCCGGGACAGACGGCTGGACGGACGCGGGCAGGGGAGGGGAGGGGGCTGGGGGGCTCTTCAGGGGGAAGGAGCGGGAGCGGCTCCAGCTGAGGAGGGGGCACCGGTGGAGCCGGGGCTCCCTGCAGAGCTGCCCGGTGTGGCCGGACTTGGCCTCACAGCCTCAGTGGTAGGGCAGCGGTTCCCTCCGCTGACAGGAGGACCCTGAGGCACGGGGAAGCTACGGCTCTTCCTGCTGGTAGGTGGTGGGTCCAGGGCTCAGCCCACTAGGCAGGAAAGAGCCTTCATTCATTCAGCGGAGGGGGGGGAGCAGAGGCCGCCCCACGGACAGGTTCCCCCTGGCGGCGCCGGGGCCATGGGAGGGACCAGAGCAGGGAGTGGCTGGGCAGGTGGCGGGAACGGTGGCCCCCGGGCAGCCGGCCGCGGGCTGGGGCGGGCAGGGATCTAGATGAGCAGCAGTGGCCGGGGCAGTGGTGGCCGGGCAGTGGCGGCGGGGAGGAGGGCGGCAGGATGGGAACCAAGCTGAGCTGAGAGGTGCCTGGGCAGCGGGCAGTCAGGGAGGCAGCGTGTGCACAGGAGGCCTGAGGGAATTGTTTCGGGGGGCTGCCCAGGGTGCCTGGGAGACAGGCAGCCTGGAGGCAGGTTCCCGGGGGAGTGGAGGCCCCCCTGACCCTCAGCCTCCGCCCCGGGGGTCCGCCTGGGCTGGACCCTGCACCCGCGCTGCTCCGCCCGCTGTCCAATACCAACAGCACAACGACTGAAATTTCTGAGAGCCCAAAACTGGCTTCTTTGCGCGGGCCACGAAGTTCCAGTCGCACTGTATGTGCGCGCCCGCACGTGGTGTTCTGTGGAAGAGCCGCACTCCAGGGGCCGAAGAGCCACAAGTGGCTCTTGAGCCTCGGTGTGCCGACCGCTGTCCTAGGGAGGTTCGAAGTCAGCTGCCCAGTGCGGAGCCTCAGGCCGCTCAGGTCACACAGCTATTTCTTCCGCAAATTACTGAGCTCCTCTCCGTCCCAGGCAGGGGGGCCGGACACTCCCGGGCTTGGAGCCTGGGATGCGGCAGGAACACTGACTGTCGGACCGCTGGGTCCAAGCTCCGGCTGCCCCCTGCGGGAGGTGCTGGCTGCAGCCTCTGCCCCCGGGAGCCGGGAAGCACTGCCCTGGCGCGTCCTGCCTCATCAGCAGCCGTCCTCATGGGACGTTTGTCAGAGAGGGAAGGGCGGGGGCGCCTGAGTCCCGCCTTATACCTGCACCTGGCCAGGAGCCCGTGAAGGCTGGCCGGCCAGGGAAGTTTTATTTTCTTTATAAAATGAAATTATAAGACACTAATTATAAACAAAACCAGCTGCCGGCAAGCTCAGAGCTTTATTTATTTATTTTTATTTATTTACTTATTTATTTTTAAATATATGTTATTGATTTTGTACAGAGAGGAAGGGAGAGAGATAGAAAGCTAGAAACATTGATGAGTCATCGATCAGCTGCCTCTTGCACAGCCCCTACTGGGGATATGCCCGCAACCAAGGTACATGCCCTTGACTGGAATCGAACCCGGGTCCCTTCAGTCCCCAAGCCGACGCTCTTATCTATTGAGCCAAACCGGTCTCGGCAAGCTCGGAGCTTTAAACGCCGCTGGCCTCTGTCATTTTGCACAGGGCCCTCCCCTGACTTCGTTTTCCTTCCAACTCCAAGATCAGTATCACCTTGCCCGTCCCCGTGGTGAGCACAAGGGGCTGTGTTTGTGTCTCAAGGAGCAAGCAGCTAACAGACAAGGTTGTTTCCATGTTTAAAAATGCAGTTTTGTGTTTTGACGGTTATTTCTAGCAATGAGCAGCAAGTACAGTGCCTTCATATTGTAACAGCCCAGCTAAATATAACATGGGATCAGGTCCTGCGTGGCTTCACCTGTCTCCGAGGTGGCCGTGTGGAGCTGGTCCCTGGGTTAAGAGTTGGGAGGAGTCCAGGCAGCATAGCCCGGGTGAGGCAAGGGGCCTTGGCATCAGGCCCCCTGGGTTCAATTCCCAGCCTCAGCCCCAGCCCCAGCCCCAGCCCCAGCCCCAGCCCCAGCTGAGTGGCCCCCGCTAAGCGGCCAACCTCTGTGCGGTGGTTTCATCGCCTGTAAATCGGAAGTAATACCGGTGCCGCCCGCTTGGTGGTGCTGCAGGTTCGATGAGGGGTGAGGGCGGAGGGCTGGGCCCACGGGCGTGTGCGGTCAGTGCCACACCGCGGCCGGCCACCTTGCTGACCCGGGTCTGACTGCGTCTGAGGCGAGTGAGGAGCACCCGCCAGCGTCCTAACCCAGCATGGGCGCTGCCCACATCACCTGCGCAGTAGCTTTCAGTCTGTGATGGAAAAGAAAGGAAACTGTTTCTTTGCGGGAATAAAAACTGCCAGCAAAGAAAGCCAGCAGCGAGGCTGGTGACGGAGGCGCGCGGTCCCGGGTGCTTCGGGGAGTGGCCTCTGGGTTCTCTGAGGCTCAGGCTCAGGCCCTGGAAGGGCCTGTGGTCCCAGCGCCGGCACAGCCACCCTGACCGTGACGCCCGGCTTGGGCTTGCGGGAGAGGATGGCTTCGGGGAGGAGGTGCTGGAGAAGAAACACAAAGGGGAGTTCCCGCTGTGAGCGTCTGTGCCAGTCCGGGGAGAAGGAGGCGGGAGAAGGAGGCGTGCTGGGGGGAAGCTGAGTGAGCAAAGCGGAGTGGGCAGGCCCGGCCGGTGGGCCGGCAGCGGGTGGGTGACGAAGATGGAGGCAGTGACACGGGAGAGGATTATAGAGAAGATGGCCGGACGGACACCCTCGCGGCCAGCAGAGCACTGCCGTTGCCAGCTCTGCGGAGCCAGTGGACAAGAAAGCCCCTGGGAAAACAGGGGTCTGCACGCTCTTCCTCGGCTGGACGCAGCCCGGCACCGGGCACACGGCGTGGCCAGCAGGGCTTGGACGGATTTTAGCGCTCACGGCGGGGCCTTGCCCCGTGGACAGCTGGTGGTCCCAGAAGCCCGCGGGCTCTTGATCCAAACAGGGCCAGGAGGACAGCAGAATTGCCAGGCAGGGCTGCGGAGGGTCTGCCCGGGGGCCCAGGGCCCCCCACTTACCTCTGTTCCGGAGACGAGCCCGGCGGCTGGGTGCCGCCTCCTCACTATGTGTTTCCCTCCGCTGGGCGCGGGCAGGTGTCCAGCCACATACAGGTTCTAGCGAGGAAGAAGGTGCGCGAGTACCAGGTTGGCATCAAGGTATGTCGGGCCTGACGGGGCCCCCAGCCCTCCGGGCACCTGCACTCCCGCCCGCACCCCAGGGCCGCGCTCGGCAGCTCTCCGGCCCCCTGTGCCTCTTCCGGCTGCAGCCTGTTCTTGCCTCTCCTTCCACTCGCTGCTCTTTGTCTTTCTCTCTCTTTCTCTCTCTCTCTCTCTCTCTCTACAGGTCTCTAGCCACTTGCAGGTTCTAGCCAGGCGGAAATCTCGGGAGATTCAGTCCAAGCTGAAGGTATGGGGTCCCTTGCCCCGTGGCCGGGCCCTGCCCAGGCCGGTTGCTGCTCTCTGACCCCAGCTCGGGGCAGGGAGGGGGCCAAGGAGCTAGAAGCCCCAAGGCCGCTGCAGGCTGCACAGGCCCTGAGGCCGAGCAGGATGGCAGTCCAAAGTGAAGGAGAGGAAGACCATCTGGGGCCACTAGGCTCCTCTCTTCTCCGTTTTCCTTTTCCTCCTTCCTCCTTTGCTGCTTGCGAATTGCATGGGGACTTCAGGAGGGCAGGGGGAGACGCTGGGGGGCATTGCTGGCAGAGCTGTTGCATCGGACACTCCGTCCTGGCTGTCTCAGAGCCTGGTCCACGGCCTGGGCCCCGGCCAGGGCCCCTGCTGGCTGCATGTTCTTCTTTCTGCCCATAGCTGCCCAGTAGCCTGGGACATGGGCAGACTCCAGGGACACCAGCTTGGCCCACCAGCCTGCCCTCCATCATCCTGCCCTGTCCACGGCACCCAGCTTACAAACACGGCCTCTGGGTGGCAGAGGGGGGAGGGCGGGGGAGGGTGGCAGAGGCGGGAGGGTGGAGGAGGGCGGGAGGTCCACGGCTGCCCAGCTCCCCTGGGCTCCCGGAAGCTGGGAGCCAGGTGGGCTGGAGTGGAGGGCGGTGAGAAGACATGCCCCCGCCCGACATAGCCTGAATTTGTGCCGTTTCTAATCACGCTCCCTCCCTCTCCTCCACAGGCCATGAACCTGGTGAGTAGACTCCCCTCCCCTGGGGGCCGGGGAGAGCGCCTCATTTTCACATCCGGGTTGGAAGTCAGGGGAACAGGCTCTCACACTGTAGCTGCACGGAGTCCCTGGAGGCCTGTGATGTCAGATGGCGGGCCTCAGCCCTGACGCTCCGATTCGGATGGCAGTGCGGGACAAAATGAGGGGAGATATTTACGTACCTGCTAGGTTGTAGAATAAAGAAAATTATTTCTTACTGTGCATTGTGGTTGGAGGGGTGACGCACCCTTAGGAGACAGGCCCAGAGAGGGGCTGAGGCCCTCCGAGGGCCACACAGCAGAGCAGGGGTTGCAATCCAGACACGGGCCTCCAGAGCCTGGGCGGGGGGCCCTGGGGCGAGCCCCTGTCCTGTCCGCCCTCACGGCCCCTCCCTTCCCAGGACCAAGTCTCCAAGGACAAAGCCCTCCAGAGCATGGCGTCCATGTCCTCCGCCCAGATCGTCTCCGCCAGCATACAGAACAAGTTCAGCCCTCCCTCCCCGCTGCCCCAGGCTGTCTTCTCCCCTTCCTCGCGGGTACGGGTACGGGTACGGGTACGGGAGGGGGGGCTGGTGAGGGCCTGCCTTCGGGGCTGGGGTGAGGATCAGATTCTGAGGGACCTTGGCTTTGTCCCATCCCTGCAGTTCTGGAACAGCCCCGCTCTCCTGGGACAGCAGCCCGGACCCTCTCAGGAGTGAGTATCCCGGGGCCCCCTCCCCCTGCCCTCTGCTTTCCCTGGGCAGCCGCACCAGCCTTCCCTCCCGTCTGGGTTCCAGCAGCAAACCAGCGTTTTCATTCAAAAACAGAGGGATGGAGTAAGAGAGCTAATGCATCTGTCTATTCATTCGCATGTTTGTTCATTCATCAGCCTACTCATCCACTTGTCATCCGTCCTTCAACTATTTTTCATTCGGTTAATCTCAGCCAAGTAGCCAAGTGTACCCGGTTCCTCCATTCTAAGATGACTTTCTTCCAGAGACACACCCTCGTCTAAGCGCAGCTCTTCGGGGTGGGGTTGAAACGCCATGTTAAATGTGCGCGTCCGTTGTGAGCTGCAGCAGGATTTCACAAACGTTACCGTGGGAAGCAAACAAGCCGGCCAGCGGGCTTCCGGGCCTCTGCAGAAAGGCTGCTGGCTCTCTGCTGGGATCCCAGACGAGGCCCCGGTGGCTAGGCTGGATGGAAGGCAGGGAAGGGGGACCCGCTAACCAGGCTGTGCTCCTGTCTGCAGCATCAAGCCCTTCGCACAGCCAGCCTACCCCATCCAGCCGCCCCTGCCGCCGCCGCTCAGCAGTAAGTTCCCAGGAGGCTGCCCCCCCTTCCCTCAGCGCCTCCATCTCTGCTCAGAAGACACGGGCCCAGCTGTGTGTGCACATGTGTGAGCACGTGTGTGTGTGTGTGTGTTTGTGAGTGAGAGGGGAGTGGGTGGCATCTATAGAGATTGGACATACCAGGAATAGCCCCCTTGCCTTCTACAGTGCACACCACCAACAGTATCACATTTGTAGACTGTATGTATATAGAATCCCTGGTAAGGAATACACCAAAGTCTTAACAGAATTTCATTCTGTTAAGTGTGAGAATTCTGGGTAATTTTTTATGTATTTTTTTTTTAATTTTTAATTTTTTTTATTTTTAAAAGGAATTAGAATTTTTCTACATTTATTCATTTATTTATTTTTAATATATTTTATTGATTTTGTACAGAGAGAAAGGGAGAGAGATAGAAACATCGATGGGAGAGAGTCATCAATCAGCTGCCTTTTGCACACACCCCCTGGGGATGTGCCCGCAACCAAGGTACATGCCCTTGACCGGAATCGAACCCGGGACCCTTCAGTCCCCAAGCCGACGCTCTATCCACTGAGCCAAACCGGTTTCGGCTCTGGGTAATTTTTTAAACATGTTTTTATTTATTTTAGAGAGGAGAAGGGAGCGGGAGAGAAACATCGATAAAAAATCATCTATCAGCTGCCTCCTGCGCGCCCCCTCCTGGGGGTCCAGTGGAAATGTGGGCTTGTGCTCAGAAGGGATTGAACCGCCGCCTCAGTGCGTGGGCGGACTCAGCCATCGGAGCCGCACGGCGGGCTGGGTAACTCATCTCCCTTTGGACGTGTTTGCGTTTCCGGCTGGAGCCCGCGGGCGGTGGCCGAAAGGCCGCTGCGTGCGCACTGGGCACCGCGGCAGGGACACCCCGCGGGTGGGCGCTGCGCCCGGAGCCGGCGGGCCGGCCGCCCACGAGGTGCCCTCCGCAGGCTACGAGCCGCTGGCCCCGCTGCCCCCCGCCGCCCCGGCGCCCGCCTGGCAGGACCGCACCATCGCCTCCTCGCGCCTGCGGCTGCTGGAGTACTCCGCCTTCATGGAGGTGCAGCGCGACCCCGACACGGTACTGTGCTGGGGCCGCGTGCAGGCCTACCCCGCCCGCCCCATCACCCCGCCCCGCCCGCCCCCCGCCCCCATCACCCCGCCCCCGCCCCCATCATCCCCTCCCCCACCGGCACCCCGCCCCCATCACCCCGCCCCCATCACCCCGCCCCCATCACCCCGCCCCCATCACCCCTTCCCCCACCGGCACCCCGCTCCCATCAACCCCATCCTCATCCCCACCCTCCCCCCATCACCCCGCCCCCGCCCGCACCCTCATCCCCGCTCCCATCACCCCGCCCCCACCCTCACCCTCATTCCCGCTCCCATCACCCCCACCCCCACAGGCACCCCGCTCCCATCACCCCGCCCCCATCACCCCGCCCCCATCCCCACCCCTCACCCGCACCCCCGCCCCCGCCCCCGCCGCCGCCGCTCCTGACCCGGCCGCCCTCCCCACAGTACAGCAAACACCTGTTTGTGCACATCGGCCAGACCAACCCCGCCCTCTCGGACCCGCCGCTGGAGGCCGTGGACGTGCGGCAGATCTACGACAAGTTCCCCGAGAAGAAGGGCGGCCTGAAGGAGCTCTACGAGAAAGGGCCCCCCAACGCCTTCTTCCTGGTCAAGTTCTGGGTGAGCCCCGCCCCAGGCCCGCCCCAGGCCCCGTCCTCCGGCCCAGCCCGGGCCCCTCTCCCGGGGCTGCGGCCTCCCTCCCGGCCTCCCGCCGCCCCCCTGCGGCCCCAGCAGCTCACGGCCGCCCCTCCCGCAGGCCGACCTCAACAGCACCGTCCAGGAGGGCCCGGGCGCCTTCTACGGGGTCAGCTCCCAGTACAGCTCCGCCGACAGCATGACCATCAGCGTGTCCACCAAGGTGTGCTCCTTCGGCAAGCAGGTGGTGGAGAAGGTGGAGGTGAGTGGGCCCCGGGGCGGGGAGGATGGGGGTGGGGAGGGTGGGAGGTAGGGAGGGTGGGGGATGGGAGAGGATGGGGGTGGGGAGGATGGGGGGAGGATGGGGGGAGGATGGGGGGTGGGGAGGATGGGAGGTAGGGAGGGTGGGGGATGGGAGAGGATGGGGAGGATGGGGGGAGGGGCCGAAAGGATGGGGGCGGGGGAGGATGGGGGGAGGATGGGGTGTGGGGAGGATGGGGGGAGGGTGGGGGGTGGGGAGGATGGGAGGTAGGGAGGGTGGGGGATGGGAGAGGATGGGGGTGGGGAGGATGGGGGGAGGATGGGGGATGGGAGAGGATGGGGTGGGGGGATGGGGTGGGGAGGATGGGGGATGGGAGAGGATGGGGCGGGGAGGATGGGAGGGGAGGATGGGGATGGGAGAGGATGGGGGTGGGGAGGATGGGGGGGAGGATGGGGATGGGAGAGGATGGGGTGGGGAGGATGGGGGATGGGAGAGGATGGGGGTGGGGGGATGGGGGGATGGGGGATGGGAGAGGATGGGGGTGGGGAGGATGGGGGATGGGGGATGGGAGAGGATGGGGGTGGGGAGGATGGGGGAGGATGGGGGATGGGAGAGGATGGGGGTGGGGGGATGGGAGAGGATGGGGGGGATGGGGCGGGGAGGATGGGGGATGGGAGAGGATGGGGGTGGGGAGGATGGGGGATGGGGGATGGGAGAGGATGGGGGGGATGGGGCGGGGAGGATGGGGGATGGGAGAGGAAGGGGGTGGGGAGGATGGGGGGGAGGATGGGGGGAAGGATGGGGGATGGGAGAGGATGGGGTGGGGAGGATGGGGGATGGGAGAGGATGGGGGTGGGGAGGATGGGGGGAGGATGGGGGATGGGAGAGGATGGCGGGGAGGATGGGGGGGGAGGACGGGGGTTGGTGGGGGCCGGCCAGGAGCGGCCCCAGCGCGGCCTTCCTCTCCGCAGACGGAGTACGCACAGCTGGAGAACGGGCGCTTCGTGTACCGCATCCACCGCTCGCCCATGTGTGAGTACATGATCAACTTCATCCACAAGCTCAAGCACCTGCCCGAGAAGTACATGATGAACAGCGTGCTGGAGAACTTCACCATCCTGCAGGTGCGCGCGGGCGGGGAGCCAGGCCATGGCCCAGGGGAAGAGGCGGAGCCGGGGAGGGGGAGCTGCTCAGCCCATACCCCAGGCCCTGGCCTCCTGACCTCCCGAACCCCCCGCCCCCCCTGCCCAGGTGGTCACCAGCCGCGACTCCCAGGAGACCCTGCTGGTCATCGCTTTCGTCTTCGAAGTCTCCACCAGCGAGCACGGGGCCCAGCACCACGTCTACAAGCTCGTCAGAGACTAGGGCGCCCTCTGCCCCGCCACCAGCATCCAGGACGAGCCTCACACACCTGCCTGGTGTCCGGGGTCCAGGACTGAGGACGCATCGCCGCCGGCCGGGAGGCTCCCCACTGCACCAGCACACACCCGCCACGGTCTGCGCTTTCGCTGTGGGAGCAGGGAGGGGCTCAGCGGTGGGGCAGCCGGGCTGGGTCGCCGAGCGCCATCACTTAGGTCCGCCAGCCCCGGCCTGGAGCGGGAGGACAGCTCTGGCTCAGGAGTGTGGCCGCTGGCCCCTGGAGCTGTGACGGGGGCGAGGGGGCGGGAGGTGGGCGGTGGGAGGCCAGGAAGGAGTGTGGAGCTGGGTTGCTGAGAGGAGAGAGGAGAGAGGCCCACACTGTCTGCACCTGTCACGTGCCAGGCCCCTGCGTGCCTCCTGCATCCTCTGACCCGCAAAGCAAGCGTGGGTCGCAGATGAGGAATGGGGGGGAGCGGGGGAGGGGGGCAGAGATGGAGTTCTCACCGGGGCTGCCTGTCCCAAGCGCAGTTTACACGCCTCCCTGCCCGGACCGGCCCCAGACTGGAGGGACTCGACACTGAGGGGCTGGATGGGGGCTCCGACACGGGACCAGCAGGGAGGGGAGTGGCAGGTACTCGCCCCCGCTGTCAGCCCATCATCCAGCCAGGGCCGGAGGGAGCCCCGCTCCTCCCCGCCCAGCGGCCCTGGCCCGATCCTTGGCCAGGCTCCCCAGCAGCCACGTCATGGGGAGGCCCCAGGGGCAGGTCCAGGCTCCAGGCAGGTCAGTAGGAAGGTGGGGCCCCAGCCTCTGGGCAGACCTGGGGCCCGGGCACGAGAGGCAGCACAGGCTTTGGCATTTCCTCTTGCCCAAGTGACCCCTCAGCGGTGCCACTACCTGTCTCCCCGCGCCAGTATCCCCGCCGAGCAGCGCCCAGACCTCGCTCTGGGCTGAAGGTTAACCCTGCCACTGCCTCTTCCCCACACCCGGCCCTCAGCGCCCGGCCTCCGGGCATCCATGAGTTTCATATGAAGTACTGTGCCCTCCCCTCCCCTGCCCTCCGCCCGCCCCTGAGCTTCCTGAAGGTTCTCACAGATTGCATATCGCTCAGGCCACCTCCAAACCCCACCTAGGTTTTGTAATGTATATTATATATATTTTTGTGTACTTTTTAAATCCAGCTGTGATGGGTTGTATCATAAATGTGGCACAGGGCTGGGGCAGGCGCCTCAGGGCCTCCTCAGAAGGAGAAATTAAAGTTATTTGTTTGTGGGTCCGTCGTGTGGCCAGTCGTGTGCAGGCCTCTGGGCTGGAACAGCTTCAGGGGGGCTCTCCCCGGTTAGGTCCTGGTGTGTCACCTTCCCCCGTCTTTTCTGGGGCCCCCCCAAGCCCTGCCCACAGTCAAAATAGGTGTGATTCTGGGGTCCCAGAAAGCTTTCCAGCTCAGACCTTTCTCCACGCCCCTGCTGCCGGGGTCGCACACTGAACTGAGCCCAGTGCTGCCCTGAGGTTTTCTCTTGCGTGCGTGCTCGCACGTGCTCTCTCTCTCACTCTCTCTCTCTTTCTCTCTCTCACTCACACACACACCCAGAAAAAAAATTGATTTTGTCTTATGATCCTAGACAAAATAAATTCAAGCTAGAGACTGCCTATGGCACTTTTCTACTTCCGAGGACCAGTTTTTACTATTATTATTATTATTTATTATTATTATTACTGAGTTTTAGGAATACAGGGAGGGAGAGAGAGAGACATCGATGTGAAAGTGAAATGGATGTGAGAGGTTTGTCTCTTAAGTGAAGTGACTTGCCCAAGGTCAGCACCTGCTGAGATGGGCCACCTGCTAAATGCCCACCACCCCCACAGTGTATGCTGCTGTCCGCACCGTCCTGCCTCATTTTATTCCCGAGGAAAGAGCCTCAGGCGGTGAGTGCTCTCTGCAGTGGACAGCTGCCAGCGGGGCAGGCCAGATCAGGCTGCTCCCGTCCGCCGGGCTGCTCCTGCCTGCCAGGCTGCTCCTATCCGCCGGGCTGCTCCTGCCCGCCTGGGGAAGCACACAGCAGGGATGCAGAGTGGCAGGGGAGGCCATCCCTCAATGAGCATTCATTGTTTATCTGAAATTCAGATTTACTGGGCGTCCTGCATTTTCTTTTAGATTTTTAAAAATTGATTTTACAGAGAGGAAGGGGGAGAGAGTAGAAGATCAATGAGAGAGAAACATCAATCAGCCACCTTCTGCACACTCCTACTGGAAATGTGCCCGCAGCCAAGGTACATGCCCCTGACCGGAATCGAACTCGGAACCCTTCAGCCCGAGGGGGGATGCTCTATCCACTGAGCCAAACCGGTTAGAGCAGCATCCTGTATTTTCATTTGCTAACTCTGCCAACCCTACTCCAGAATCTAGGGTCTTCTAGATCATTCTGGTCCAAGCTCCAACTTTGCAGATGGGAAGCAGACTGAGGTTCCGCTCCTCACTCAGCCAGTCAGTGGCAACAGCAGGATGTGCACTGCTCCGCCTGACCAAGCCCCCGCACCTGGTTACTTCTTAAATGATCAGGTTGCCTTTGTCTTGGTCCCATCGGAGGGACTTCACTGTCACTAATAGAATGGGGAGGGCACCTGCCAGTTGGGAGGAGGTTCTGGAGGCAGAGATTGGTTTATGAAGGACCCTGGGGCTGGATGAAAAATTAATCTCTGCACTAATAAGTAATGACATCGCCCTGGCCATGGTTTGCTCAGTGGTTAGAGCATTGGCCTGTGCACTGGAGGGCGCGAGGTTCGATTCCTAATCGGGTGTGTGTGGAAGCAACCAAATGATAGTCTCTGTCACACATCAACGTTTCCTTTCCATTTCCCCTCTCCCACTCTCTAGAATCAATGGAAAAAATATACTCGAGTGAGGATTAAAAAAAAAAAAAGTGATGGCACCTATGGAGTGCTTGAAGTGTCATCACGTGGGTTGTTGCCTTCACTACTCTCCTGGAGCAATCAGCCTTCGGGGAACTTCTTAAAGAATAGTGTAGGTCTCAGGCAGAGAACTCAAGGAATGAAACTGACTAGCCGCCTTGCTTTCTTTACTGCCTGCCCAACCACAGGTGTAACACGAAGTGGGTGATGACTCACTTTGAGGTTACAGAGCAGGGAAGGAACCAGGATAAGAAGGTGGGTATTGCCCTGGCCCATAGCTCAGTCGGTGAGAGTGTTGTCCTGACAGGCCAGGGTTGTGGGCTCCATCCCTGGTCAAGGCACATACAGGAAGCAACCAATGAATGCATAAGTGGAACAACAAATCGGTGTTTTTTTCCTCCATTTCTCTTTCAATTCAACAAATAAAAATTACATATAAATACACACACACACACACACACACACACACACACACACACACACATATATATATATATATGAATGCAGGTCTTGGGCGCCCAAAGCCCAGGCTCTGGCAGTGGCCTGTCAGGGTCTGTGGGAAGCTGTACAGAAAGGTCAACAAAGCTGGAGCCCAAAGGGCCAGTAGTTCTATCTTTCCTGCCCGTTTCTGTTCTGATGTTTCTGGGGGAAAGGGAGGTGCCATCTTTTTTTTTTTTTTTTTTTTTTTAATATATATTTTATTGATTTTGTACAGAGAGGAAGGGAGAGAGATAGAGAGTTAGAAACATCGATGAGAGAGAGTCATCAATCAGCTGCCTCCTGCACACCCCCTACTGGGGATATGCCCGCAACCAAGGTACATGCCCTTGACCGGAATCGAACTCGGGACCCTTCAGTCCCCAAGCCGACGCTCTATCCATTGAGCCAAACCAGTCCCGGCGGGAGGTGCCATCTTTTTGTTAATTCCACAGTCAAAGCCAGAGCACTGTCCTGGGGTTCATGAGGGCTCATTTCCCTGCACACAACTGCTGGGGAACTAGGGCTCCCCAGGTATCGGAGCCGGAATTGTAACTCAGGGGCACACTGAGCTTTGCACTAATCATTCTGGAGGCTGGGATTTGATGAAATAGCTCAACCCTCATTTACAATAGACGCCCCAGCCCCCCTCCCCGCCCCCCAGATGCTGTGGGCCTCTTGAGAGCAGCGTTGGGTCTCTAAACAGATTCGAGAGGCCAGCTGAAGGTGGTGTGTGTCTAGTGTAGAGTTGGGTTTTAAGGACAAAGCGGAGTAGGTTTGACTTAAATTCGGATCAATGTTCAGATCAATGCAGGAAGATTCAACTTCCCACGTAGTTCTAAAACATACCTGTTTATCTGAATGTCTTAAGGATGTTATTCCTTGGCTCATTTCAGACAGGAGGAGTGATGGATTCTTCTCCCCATTCATCAGCACAGATCTCCACTCAGTCTGCCCTAAACCAGCTGGCATTGTGCACCAGGTCCAGTACATTTATGCATGTGGTTATACAGAAATGCCATTCTACCGGTGCTCCTTATTTATTTTTATTTCTTTAAATAGGGAACACTTTCACAAATTTGTGTGTCATCCTTGAGCAGGGGCCTTGCTAATCTTCTCTGTATCATTCCAATTTTTTATATATATATTTTTTATATTTTCGTATATATGCTGCCGAAGCGAGCACTGCTAGTACTCCTTTTATTTATTTATTTTTTTAAATCAATCTTTATTGTTCATATTATTACAAAGGTTCCTCATTTCTTCCCCCCTCCACCAGGTTCCCACCCCACCCTCCGACCCCTCCCCATCCCCCATTGTCCTCATCCATAGGTGCAGTTTATGTTCAGTCTCTTCTTCCCTCCCTTTCCCCAATAGTAAATCCCTTTTCAGGTAGTAAATCAGTTACTTAGCATTTTCTCAAATCAATAATACCTCCACATGCCCAATGATACACTTCACACAAAAGACATTTCCCAATAGGTCCACCAGCCTCATCCAGGCCCCACCCAAGGCACTCACAGATCAACACCCCAGTCCTAAACTAACTCAACACATCCAGATCTAAGCCTTCATCACTTGATTCAGCAGACCCTCAAGTCCCACGAAAATTTCCAGCCATGTCTGAGAAGCAGCCGTGGGGCAGGGGCAGGCAGGGAGCGAGCTGTTCTGGGCCTGGTTGCTCAGGGCCTGGCCTCTGTTGCTCTAGTTCATTCCACAACCAGCTGCTCCGGGTCTGGTCACTGCCGCTCCCGACCTAGTTGCTCTGGACTTGGCTGCTGCTGCTCCGGGCCTGGCCGCTCCCAGCCTGGCAGCCGCTGCTCCGGGCCTGGCCGCACCCGACCTAGTACTCCTTTTAATTAAGTGCTAAGTGCCTGGCACTGTGCAAAGCACTTAATGCTTTTAAACTGGTACGACTCTCTCAGGGGGGTACCGTCATCACCTGCACTTCCAAACAGCAAGTTTGAGACTTGCTCCGCAGGCTCCCCTGGCTCCCAGGCAGCAGGGGACCTCTGGCCCCACAGGCAATTACATGGCTGTCTTGCATCCAATAAATGGAGTGTACGTCTGAGGTCACGAGAAACCTCCAAAACCTTGGCTCACGATGCCTGCTCACAACAGGACTGCTGTGGGTGCAGATGTCTTTCCGGTCTTGGACTCAGAGGTGGACTGCACTGGGTGCCCATCAGGGCCCTCAGTGTGGCCACCTCAGGTGCAGCTGGAGCCCGCCTGTTTGCTTCGTGCCTTTTCCTCATGGCTGTTTCCTCTTCATTGCGCCCAGTGCCCTGTAAGCAGCTTGTGGCAGAGACAATGCATCATATAATAAAAGCACAGCATGAAAATTGTCTCAACAGGGAGTTCAGCCAGGGACCAGGGCTGGTCTGGGGAAGACAGGCAGTACATGGCCAGCAGCCAGCAGCTGCTAGGGACCCTACCAGTGCATGAATTTCGTGCACTGGGCCTCTAGTAAAATATATTCACACTTTTAAGTTACTTTATTACATCCCTCCAGTCACTAAGTCATCACAATGTTTTTAGCCCTATTTTCTTAAGTATTTTTTAAGGAAGATGGAAACAATGAGAAATATCAATGGGCTGCCTCTTTAATGCCCCCTACTGGGATTGAGCCCACAACATAGACATGTGCCCTGTTCAATCCAGTGACCTCTTGGTACATGGGTCCATACTCAACCACTGAGCCATACCTGCCAGGCTGCCTTTTTTTCTTTATTACAGATTACAGAAACTCCCCCAAACCATTTAACTGAGTTAACAGTCAATTTTATGTAAGCTTCCAATAATTTTTACTATGCATGAACATTTCAATAAGATTGAGTCCTAATTTTATAGCCAGCCTTTTCCCTCCAAAAGGGAACTTTGCTAAACAAGCATATTTTATCACTCCTAATACTACAATAGACCGCAAATTTAAAAGCTAAAACAGTGAACTACTCCAGGTTTGTATTGACAGCCTTGTACACCTGGCAGTTCCAGGCCAGGCAAACCTTGTTTTGAGGTGCTTTTTATTTATGCTTCCCAGTAGCCTTTCAGCTCTATTAAAACTGCTGGGACGCCCAGCCAGTGTTGCTCCAGGTTATGGTTTGACCCTGCCTAAGCTGGCTCAATCCCCCAAAGGCAGCCCACTGGTTTCTCACCTCTCCCTCCCTTCTCTGAAATAAAGACTGGTGGGATGAGCCCTGGCCAGTTTCTCCACTGAAGGGTCCCAGGTTTAATCCTGTCAGGGGACAGGCAGGAGTTAGCTGATCAATGATTCTCTTAATTGATGGCTCTCCCTCAATCTGAAATCAGTAAAAATACATTAAAAAGAAACTGGTGGGATGAGCTGATCCCTTTATTTACCAAAGTTAAATGACTCAATCACAGGTACTTCCCAGAATACCAAGCCACTGGCACCAATAGCAAGGGAAAGGGGTAGGGCAGGGTCTGGATCCTACCCATTTTGCAGGCAAACTTGAAAATGCAAAAATGCGAGCAGGAAGGAAATAAAACCCCCAGCCTGGGCTGAACCCCCGAACCGGCAGCGCTGAGCCCCCCCGAACCGGCAAGCTGAGCCCCAGTTATGGGCCAGACCCTGGGGACCCAGGCTCCTGCGGGAGGAGACAGGGCCGTGAGGCGGAAAAACGGCGAAAGGCAGGGCCCCGGGAGTCGCGCGCAATGCGCGCAGAGGACTGAATGTTGACTCTGATGCTGGGTTACCCTAGCCGGAAGAAACAAGGCCTCCTGTGGCGCTGAGCCTCAGTCCGGACTGCTCCGAACCCCAGTTCTGGGCCAATCCCTGGGGACCCAGGCTCAGGCAGAGGGAGACGGGGCTGTGAGGTGGAGTCCGGGGAGAGTGGCGAAAGGCCGGGCCCCCGGGACTCGCGCAAACTGCGCGCAGAGGACAGTCTGTTGACTCTGATGCTGGACTTCCCTAGCGGGAAGGAGAAAAAAAAAGCTCTAGGCTGGGGGAACGCGGAGGGGAGCGGAAGCCCCTGCCGGACTCCAGCCAACCGGGCACCAGCAAGGAGGCGGGCCACGGGGCCCCTGGGGGCGTGGGTGCCCCTGAGCCTTTGACCACTGAGCTCGGGCAATGGAGCCAAGGCCGGGGGCTGCTTCCTGGGCGGCGCCGTCCCGGCAACAGGCTGAAGCAGCACAGGAGCCCGCGGAGAACAAAGGGGTGCCACAGGCCAACCTGCTGAGCTCCCAGGACAAGGAGGAAGAAACCAAAGAAGTTCTCAATGTGAAGAAATCAAGTGAGAGCAAAAAATAGTAAAATTACTTAAGAAAGAATACAAAGAAGATCTTGAAAAATCAAAGACTAAGTCAGAACTCAACTCACCAGCCAACATTGCAACATAAATGCGTTTTAAAAAGAAAAAAAAAGGACAGAATGTTGGAACAGCGACGGCCAGGCCTAGAGTGGCCAGGCACAAGGCAGTGGCAGCCAGACCCGGAGCAGCAACGGCCAGGCCCCAGAACAACAGCAGCATCAACAGCCAGCACTGGAGCAGCCAGACCTGGGGCAGTGGCAGCCAGGCATGAGGCGGAGGCGGCCAAGCCCAGGGTGGCCAGTCCAGGAACACCCAGACCCGGAGTGGCCGGGCCCGAAGAAGCCGGGCCCAGAGCAGCCGGGGTGGGAGCAGCCAGACCCAGAACAGCAGTAGCCTAGCTCAGAGCATCCAGGTCGGGAGTGGCCAGGCTCGGAGCGGCCGGGCCCGGGGCAGCCGGGCCCAGAGCAGCCGGGTCAGGTGCGGCCAGGCCCGGAGCAGCAGTTGCCAGGCTGGGAGCGGCCAGGCCCGGGGGAGCAGTCGGGTCGGGTGCAGCCAGGCCCGGAGCAGCGGCTGCCAGGCTGGGAGCGGCCAGGCCCGGGGGAGCAGGCGGGGCTGGTGCGGCCAGGCCCGGAGCAGCGGCTGCCAGGCTGGGAGCGGCCAGGCCCGGGGGAGCAGGCGGGTCGGGTGCGGCCAGGCCCGGAGCAGCGGCTGCCAGGCAGGGAGCGGCCAGGCCCGGGGGAGCAGGCGGGTCGGGTGCGGCCAGGCCCGGAGCAGCGGCTGCCAGGCAGGGAGCGGCCAGGCCCGGGGGAGCAGGCGGGTCGGGTGCGGCCAGGCCCGGAGCAGCGGCTGCCAGGCTGGGAGCGGCCAGGCCCGGGGGAGCAGGCGGGGCTGGTGCGGCCAGGCCCGGAGCAGCGGCTGCCAGGCTGGGAGCGGCCAGACCCGGGGGAGCAGGCGGGTCGGGTGCGGCCAGGCCCGGAGCAGCGGCTGCCAGGCTGGGAGCGGCCAGGCCCGGGGGAGCAGCTGGGTCTGGCGCGGCCAGGCCCGGAGCAGCGGCTGCCAGGCTGGGAGCGGCCAGGCCCGGAGCAGCAGCAGCCAAGTCCAGAGCAACTAGGTCGGGAGCGGCAGTGACCAGACCCGGAGCAGCTGGTTGTGGAATGAACTAGAGCAACAGAGGCCAGGCCCTGAGCAACCAGGCCCAGAACAGCTCGCTCCCTGCCTGCCCCTGCCCCACGGCTGCTTCTCAGACATGGCTGGAAATTTTCGTGGGACTTGAGGGTCTGCTGAATCAAGTGATGAAGGCTTAGATCTGGATGTGTTGAGTTAGTTTAGGACTGGGGTGTTGATCTGTGAGTGCCTTGGGTGGGGCCTGGATGAGGCTGGTGGACCTATTGGGAAATGTCTTTTGTGTGAAGTGTATCATTGGGCATGTGGAGGTATTATTGATTTGAGAAAATGCTAAGTAACTGATTTACTACCTGAAAAGGGATTTACTATTGGGGAAAGGGAGGGAAGAAGAGACTGAACATAAACTGCACCTATGGATGAGGACAATGGGGGATGGGGAGGGACGGAGGGTGGGGTGGGAACCTGGTGGAGGGGGGAAGAAATGAGGAACCTTTGTAATAATATGAACAATAAAGATTGATTTAAAAAAAAAAATACTCTAAAAAAAAAAAAAAAAAAAAAAAAAAAAAAAAGAAAGAAAATGCAAAAATGCTGCACCAGAGTTAAAGCCATTTGATTAAAGCTAACGGGGGATCATCTGATAAATTTGTGTAATGGGAAGAAGCTTGGTTTCAACAAATCGTTTCTTGAACAAATTAAGACCAATCTGTCCAGGTTTGTGGATTAGTCCCATCACAGTACACCTAGGAACTCAGTCTCCATTTGTCACAGCTGAGATCTTATGGACCAAGACCCCAAGTGAGCGGACACCCAGGCCCCCGTTAATGGACTCGATGTCCGCAGCGGGAAGCCTGGCCACTAGGAAGCAGCAGGGGCAACAGGCTGGAGTCCTGGCCCTGCCCCCCTCCCCCCCAGTCACAGGCAGACAGAGGTCAGTCACAGTGGCAGCATGGTTTATTAGCTGGGCCTTAGTACAGGCGCTGGGGCTTGCCCATGGTGCTCTTGATGTACAAAGCGCGAACATTCTGCCAGTTCTTCTTGAGCAACGACACCAGGAAATTGACAGCTAAGTGGATGTTGTACACAAGCTCATCATCTGTCATCTTCACGTGGCCAACAGCCACTGCCAGACACAGCACCTGTGGGGAGAGGAGGCCATCAGGTTGGTGGCAGATGGGAGAACATGGGAAGAGTGGGGACATCCTCGAGACTGCTTTGGCCCCAGGCTCTGACCGGCTTCAACCCCGCTTGATACCAATCACATACATGTCCGAAATATCACAGGAAGGCAAACCAGGGCTCCCGTTAAGAGGACGTGGGCAGGCTCCAGGGCCGGGGCCACCAAGGCTGTGGCTTAACTTACCTTCTTCATCTGGAACTTGATTGTGGATTTCACCTCATCGACCTTGGCCACCATGTTCTCATTGTGGGTCAACAAGGAAGGGAACTTGCCAGCCTTATTCAGGCCTGGGCCCAGGATTCGTGGGATCTGCTTTATCAGAGACTCTGAGGCCAAAAAGGCATCGTACTTCTTGGCTGGTGAAGAGAATAAGCCATTGGACACTTAGGACCCCAAAAGGCCAAATGAGCCCTGTGACCCGACCCAGCACAGGTACCAAGTCTCTGTAACGCCTCCCACACTCCAGTTTGAGCATCTCCGTGCTCTGAACTTTTACTGGCCCAACATTCACATAAAACCCGTTACCAGACCCACAACCCATGTTGCAATGCAAACACTCGGACTAATCCTGCCTTCCCTCTTTCTTGCTACATGACAACCACAGACCAGAGACTGAGAAATTAAATTGTAACTTGAAATAGGAACTCCAGCACCTGACTAGTCAACGGAGATCATGGGTTTGAACCAAGCCTAGAGGCCTCCTCCCCCTCCTGTATAAATCTCAACCCTCAAAGCAAATAAAAAACCACAGCACACCCTTTTGGCCACAATTCTACCCTCCTCCTCATTTTAAAATCCAAACGCTCTAAGTACCACTCTTCTCACTCCCGGGGGGGTCCGCCGCCCCCGCCCCCACACTCACCCAGCTTCTTGACCAGTTTCTTATTTTTGTTGAGTTTCTTCAGCGCCTCGATGTCCATGTGCGGGATGTCCACGGCCTTGGCCTCGTCACAGTGCTGCTGGTCCCCCAGCACACACACGGAGAACTTGGGGCGGGGCGTGGACTTGAGCCTGTGTTTGGGGGACGGAGCAGGTCATGCCCAGCCCTGGGGCTCCGGGCAGGTGAACGGGCCTGGGACCGCTGCAGCCAGAGCCTTACCCAGAGCGTCCACGTTCACCAACAGCTAGTCTGGCTTCTCAAACTAGCCGGCGGGCTCGGCCTCGGCCTCCCCACGCCTCCCCTCTTGTTTTAAGACCCAGGGTGGGGGTCCGTCCAGCCGCGCCTGCCCGGAGCAGGGGGTCTGAACTACCCGGGCACTCCAGGGCCGCGCGTGTCTGCCCACCTCGGGCTTAACAGGAGCCTCGAGGCCAGAGCTGGGCACGGGGGCACTGAGGGCTGGGTGGGGTCAGAACGGTGCCAACCTGACGGTGCCCGAGAAGCGTTTGTCCTTCTGAGGGTCATAGTTCTTCAGGCTGATCTGCAGCTCCACCGTCTCCAAGAACCTGAGAGAAAGTGCATGTGAGCCGGCGGCCGAGGCCCGGGCCCGCCCGCCCGCCTGCCCTCCTCCCGCCCGCGGGCCCGGCTTACTTCCGGCGCTTGCGCTGGTTCCCGTGCAGGACCTCCCGCACCGCCTCGTAAAGGGTGTCGCGGGAGACTTTGCTGCTGTAAAAGGGAAACAAGACCAGCGCTCAGGCCCGGCACCCCGGCACGGCCAGGCCTCAGGCGGAGCGGCTGGGGAACCCGGACACCGGGGCGGAGCGGGGTCGAGAAGCAGATGCAGGCCCCGGGAGGAGGGCTCTGACGGCGGCCGATCGGCACGTAATGCCCCGCAGCGAAGCAAGGGCAAGGACCCCCGACTCGGCTCGTAGAGTCTCCTTCCTCACCGGGGCGTCCGAGGCGCGGATGAGCACGGATGGCCCCTAAGTGTCACTCACCTCATGGTTCCTCGCGCCGCAAAAACCGGAAAAGAGACTAACTCAGTTCGCGCATGCGCTCAAATAGGGACCTCGTTCTCGCGAGAGTTGCCTGTACCTTCCCAGCCGAGCGCTGTTGGTCGTTCCATCCCCGGGTGCACCGCCGTCTGCGGCCGCTGGGGGGCGCCGATAGGCTGCGGTCCTGGGCACCCTCAGCTTACCCCGCTTTGCGCCAGCAGCTGCCAGGCTGGTAGGAAGAGGCTATTAAGGTGACCAGACGTCCCGATTTTTAACAATTTGTCCCGCGTCCCGCGGCGTTTTAAAGTCCGATTTTTGGATTCTTTTAAATCTTTTGGACTTTATTTTATTTTATGTTTTAAATATATATTTTGATTTTTACAGAGAGGAAGAGAGAGGGATAGAGAGTTAGAAACTTCGATGAGAATCATCCATCAGCTGCCTCTTGCACACCCCCTACTGGGGATGTGCCCGCAACCATGGTACATGCCCTTGACCAGAATCGAACGTGGGACCTTTCAGTCCTCAGGCCGATGCTTTATCTATTGAGCCAAACCAGTTTCGGCAATCTTTTGGGCTTTTTTAAAACGCCGCGGGACGCGGGACAAATTGTTAAAAATCGGGACTGCCCCGCCAAAAGCGGGACGTCTGGTCACCATAGTAGGTCCAGGGCTTGAGCTTCAGAAACCAAACGTGCTGGTTTGTGCTGACGAGGGTGCGATTCCTGCATGTTTGCCCCAGACTTCCTCTGCCCACTTTCTCACGCACCTGCCTCAAAAGCAGGCTTTACTCCCGACCTCTCCCCCTCATCTCGCTCTTATGGGCAGGGTGGGGGTGGGCTTCCGGCTTCCAAGGGAGGAGCAAGAAGGGACTTGTGGACAAAGCCCTTGGCCCTGGAAGCCTGCAGTGGGGACGAGCTGGGAAGCACTGTAATGGACCTTCACCAGTTACTTCTGTAACACCCACCTATGGACGGGGCGCCCGGCTAGCTGCTATGGGAATATAAAGATGTCCAACAGACATGGCCACGGCGATGCACACCCTTTCCTGTTCAACAGGCCCATCCACCTCTGCCCACAGTAACCGAGGAGCCTCTATCCCTACCCAAATGTCTTCCGCCCAAAAGCCTTCCCCAATTCCAGACTGTCACTCCCACCTTTAAGCCCCGCCCCCACTCAGCAGACAGCTGACAGGGTTGGAGTGGGTGGTAGCACACTCTCTGGCCCACAGAAATTGAATGAATGAACCTCAGAACTGCACCACCTTCCTCTCAGAACACTTCACTGGGGAAAGGTGCCCCTTGTCACTGAGCAGGTGGAGTGGTGGTGTTAATTTTCAACAAATACCAGAGCTAACAGGAAGGCAGGCATTGCTAATGACACATTATTGAGTTTCCTGAATTTTATTAAATACCATTGATAAATTATTACTCAAGTCAGAACAACAATTCAGGGGATCATAACACACTGCAGCACACGAGATGTGCCGAGTGCTAAGCACAGGGGTCCCCCGAGTAGCCCGAGGCAGAAGTGACAGAGAGTGAGCCAGGGTCAGCAGCCCTTGAAAACCACTCATCCACCCCTTCAGCCTGTACCCTCCCGGCTGGCTGGGATGTCAAGATGGCCTCTCTGAGCCTGGAACAGGGAGGCAGTTGATGCCCGAATGGCCCAGGTCAGGGTGAGGGCAGAGCCTTCAGGAAGCTGGTGTCCGGGTGGAAGGTCAGGGGGCCAGGTGTCTCAGGGCGGCCTGCAGGGACTTCCTCAGGAAAGTGGTGTTGAGGGACAGGGGGGTGGCCAGCCTCAGTCTCTGGATCTCAGTGATCTGGGGAGAAGGAAGAATGTCAGGACTCTGGCAGCTGACCCCTCCCCTCCCATCTGACTCTGGGCTCTGTTCAGAGGAGAGGAATCCGGGCATAGGACGATGGAAGGAGGTGAGGACCCCTGAGCAATCAAACCTCATTATTTCACTGTCTTTGGATTCAGGTGGACCCGGGCCAAATACTGTCCAATTACCATGTCAGCCACGGCAGTCACAGCTGACAGCTGAGTGCGCCCTAAGCAGCAGCATGTGATATGCATTAGTTATTATAACCCTCACACCCTCCCAGCTACAGACAGGAAACCGCTGCCACCTTCCTCTGGGGCACGCTTTTTCTTCCCTGACCTGTGGCTGAAACCTCCTGGCAGGTCTCCACCCTGCATCTTCCCGCTAATCCCTACTCCTTACCGAGGCCATAGGCTTCTCTATAAAACGCAAATCTGACACTTCACTCTGGCTGAAGGCCCGGGGATAACTCCGGAGACCTCACACTGAGGCCCTCCTTCCAGGACCAGTCTCCTGATCAGTGTTCCTGAGATGTGTGTTCGTGTATTCACTTTCCAGGGAGCAGCTGTAGCTCTCATCAAATCAGCAAATGGGACTGTGACTCCTAAGAAAAGGGTGAAGAGCCAACAGCCAAGAACACCTGGCCTTCAAGATCAAGTCCAAGGCCCTTCATAAGATGCATCGTGGCCTGGCAATGTGACCTTGGACAAGTCACATTTACCTGAGTCTCAACTTCCTTATCTATAAAATGAAGCCAATAATGTATCTTCTCATAGTGCTAATGCGTGAATAAACTGGAGAGTTAACATATATAAGGGCTTAGAACGGTGCCTGAGGTGTAGCAGGGGCTATGCAAGTGTCAGCTCTTGGTATTTTATTTATTTATTTTTAAAATTTATTTATTTTTATTTTTTTAAAATATATATTTTATTGATTTTGTACAGAGAGGAAGGGAGAGAGATAGAGAGTTAGAAACATCGATGAGAGAGAGTCATCGATCAGCTGCCTCCTGCACACCCCCTACTGGGGTTATGCCCGCAACCAAGGTACATGCCCTCGACCAGAATCGAACCCGGGACCTTTCAGTTCCCCAAGCCGACGCTCTATCCATTGAGCCAAACCGGTTTTGGCAGCTGTTGGTATTTTAGAGCTCTAACCTCGACCCCAACTGCCATCAACTCTCATATTTTTAGGCCTCAGCCACAATGAACTAACTACCTGTACCCTCAGACATTCACTGCTGACACTGTTTCCTTTGCCTGGAATGCCCTTTCCTCCAGCTCAGCCCTTGACCACCACTTTAAGAGTCAGGAGGCCTGTCCCAATTCAAAACCACAAACAAAGTTTAGTTGTGCCCTCTTGCTCTGTCATCAATAGCCCCGTGTGTACTTGCACCCGACTCCCACCAGATTTGCAATGATCTGTTTATCATCTCTCCTTCCCCTCGTATGAGGGGAGAGGGTCAGGTCAAGGCCCGTATGAGGGGAGAGGGTCAGGTCAAGGACAAGGACTGTGATATGGCCCCATATGGCATCTGGCCCACAGCGGTGTTGGCTGGGTGAGCAGGCCCATTGCCTGGACCCAGGCTTGAACTTGTGGGTTCCCTGACTAACATTTGGGGTTTTCTCCCTGGAAAACAGATGTGCACCGTCACGGCAGATTCAGAGCAGCAGGGCCAGCCCTCGTGGCCCCATCAGACTCACATTGGCCTGATACTTGGTCAGCACCGTCAGCATGAGCTTGGCGTAGGCCATGGACGCAGTGGCTGCTGGCCCCTCTTTGCAGAGCCTGTCCATCAACACATTGAACTTCTCGGGGGTCATCTCCACCTGCACATTGGGAGGGGGGACAGCAGCACAAGAAAAGGCCTTGCATTCAGTTCCCAATTCTACCACTTACTAACTAGGTGACCCTATGCAGCTCGCTTAACCAAACTAAGCCTCAGTTTCCACATCTGTAAAATGGGGCTCATAAAATCTAACTCTGAAGCCTGTGAAAAGGATTAAATGAGATAATGCTCATAAGGCCTGCGCACAGGTCCCAGAAAACGGCGGCTACCATTGCAAAGGCTGATTAGGACCAAGGGAGGCCAAGCATCCCTAGCCTGGATTAGTGTTGAGGATGTACAGAGTGGTCCTGCCAGCACAGCAATAGATCTTCATAATAATAATAGTAATAATAATAGTAGTAATTTAATAAGCTTTAGTATGCACCAGGCACCATCCGAGCACTGTACACCAGTTATCACTTACACCTCACCCTTGTGTGGCAGGTGCTATCATCACTCCCCTTTAGTAGATGAGGAAACTGAGACACAGAGGCTAGGCCAACACCTAAGTTATGAACAGATGAGGCAGAATTTTAAGTATTGATATGGAAAAATTGCCAACATATATATTAAGTGAATAAAGCAGAATACAGCGCACTGAACTTGGTGTTCCCATTTGTGTAAAAAAACAACGGAAAAATGCATCTATGCGTGTGTCCTTGTAAATATAAGCACCGCTGGGAGGGTCCCCTAAAGCTAAGAACACTGGTTCACTCTGGGGAAGGGCATCCAGACGGCTGAGGGAATATTTTTCACTATTTCCTCCTCGAGCTTCTAAAATTGTGAACATATGTATTTATTACCTATTCAAAAAGAAAACTATTTATTTTGTTAATCCTCACCTGAGGATATTTTTCCGTTGCTTTTTAGAGAGGAAGAGAAACAGTGATGTGAGAGAGAGACACCGATTGGTTGCCGGAGCCAGGGATGGAGCCTCCAACCCAGGGAGGTGCTCTAACCATTGAGCTACTGGCCAGGGGAAATACAACTTAATTGCTACACACATAGTGAAAAGTTGCTCCTCAAGGCCACGAAGCCAAGAAGAGGCAGAGACAGATTTACCATGGAGTCAGCTCTCTGCTCCCAGCCTTAAAGCCCCAGGGCTCTCCCACAGTCACGGGGTCCCTGCTGTGGGGCAGCTGTCCTACCGCCCCTCCATCACCAAAGGAGTCAGACCCGCAGCGGCCCCACACCGTCCGCAGCCCTGCAGCGCCTCTCTGTCCTCGTCCCCACAGCAGCTGCTCACCTGCCGCTCCAGGAGTGACTGCAGCACCAGGAAAGTCTGCTCCTTCCAGGGCACCTCCAAGATCTGTCTGCAAAGCACAGGCCCCGGTGGGTAACGCCCAGCCTCCCGCTGAGGCCTGGTATCTACCACTCCTGCCCCAAGGCAGGGCAAGGCCAAGACCCCCAGCCACCGAGGAGTGAGTCAGAGTCCCCATAATGCTGCCCACTGGTCACTCTGCAGAGCCCATGCTCAGTGCTGGGCAGGCCACAACTCAAGACCCTGAGAGCTGACAATGAAGGGTTTGGCGGTAGGATGTACAAAGATCCCCTGAAAATAGCCAGGAGTCAAGAGTACACCCTGCACCCGGCCAGTGTGGCTTAGTGGTTGAGTATCAACCTATGAACCAGGAGGTCAGGGTTCAATTCCCAATCAGGGCACATGTCTGTGTCGTAGGCTCAATCTCTAGTGTGGGGCGTGCTCCAGGAGACAGCTGATCAATGATTCTCTCTCATCATTGATGTTTCTTTTTATCCCTCTCCCTTTCTCTCTGAAATCAATAAAAATACATTAAAAAGAAAAAGAAAAAAGAATACATCCTGAGTATAAAGGGTGAGGACGACCCAGGGACCACGATGATGGATGAGACACACAAGGCTCCCTGGAGGCCAGCCTTCCCTGCGGAGCCCAACCCCCAGGGAGGTCCACTCCAGCTGTGCCTCCTGTTCTACTGCTCGGGCCTCAGCTTGCCTGGAACAGCAGCAGGTCACATGGACAGTGTGGCTTCCTGGGTGCACGAATTGGGTTGGACCCCAGGCTTTCTCACCTTTGGCCACACACCTAAGTTTTCCATCTTTAAGGCGGCAGCAGCACCTGCCTCACCAGATTGCATGAAGACTAACTGAGATGATGAACCTAAAGCAGAGACAGTGCTTGATATGTGGTGGTTGATACTATTTTTGAGATTGTCCTTCTCATACTTAGCATCTTATATTTCACTAGAGGCCCGGTGCATGAAATTTGTGCCCTCGGGGGTGGGGTGGAGGTTCCTTCAGCCTGGCCTGCACCCTCTCGCAGTCCGGGAGCCCCTGGGGGATGTCTGACAGCTTAGCGCTGCCACAGAGGTGGGAGAGGCGCCTGCCACTGCTGCTGTGCTTGCCAGCTGTGAGCGGTGCTCCCCCTGTGGAAGCGCACTGGCCACCAGGGGGCAGCTCCTGCATTGAGCATCTGCCCCTTGTGGTCACTGTGTGTCATAGCAACCCATTATTCTGCTACTCGGTCAATTTGCATATTAGCCTTTTGTTATATAGGATTTTGATATCCAATGGGTCTTTTCTAATTATTTCTGTCTCGAATCTCTATATAAATTTTTTTATTTATTAAAATATATCTTATTGATTTTTCACAGAGAGGAATGGAGAGGGATAGAGTTAGAAACATTAATCAGCTTCCTCCTGCACACCCTCCTGGGTATGTGCCCACAACCAAGGTATATGCCCTTGACCAGAATCAAACCTGGGACCTTTCAGTCCACAGGCCAACACTCTATCGACTGAGCCAAACTGGTTAGGGCAAATCTCCGATTTTTAACACAAATTAAATAACAATTTCTGAGCATTTACTAAGTGCCAAATACTGTTCTGAGGTCTTTATATGGATTATCACATTTAATATCTAGAAAAATCCTACAGAGTAAATATTATTCCCATTTCTCATAAGCTCTGAGAGCCTCAGAGATATGAAATAACTGGTTTGAATTTTGAATTTTGATTGAAACCATGTCTGTCTGACTCCAGAGCCAGTGCTTTTACCCATAGTGCCAATCTCCAACTACGCTGGAAACTGCTCAGGAGCGAGGACCACCAGCCCTTCTCTGCATTCTGCAAAGCACCTTGCATGGAAGACTGGAACTCCGGGCTTGGGAAGAGGCACAGGATGGCAACTTGCATGGGTCCCGGTGGGAAGGCACAAGCCAGGTTCAGATAACTGTGAGGGGGCACCTCCTGTCTTTCAGGCACAGGGCCTGGTGCCCAGTTGGCTCCAACTCCAAAATGCCAGAAACAGACTTGGCCAGGGGAGGAGAGGGGGACACAGAGGCCTGAATACTCACCCCAGAATTAGCATCTGCCTGTCTGGCTCCAGGGCCTCGTCCTTCATAAGGCAGCACAGTAGCTCTGTTTGAGCTGGACCTGGGTAGAGGACAGAGGGGAGAAGTCTGGGGAATGGCAGGAGAGGACAGGACTGCAGGGAACAGCACGCTCAGCTCATCAGAGGGGGAAGTAATAGCTTTACTCATTGAATACCCAGCTTCTGCCCGGGTCATCCTGGGGTGAAGGCTGGTTCTGGAATTACCTGTTTCTGGGGCCCGGAGCACGGGGCCAAGGAGGGCTCTGCAGACAGGGTGGGTATACTTGGCACAGAAGGAGGTCAGGGAAGTTGTGAGCAGGCGGGAGGCTGAGGAAGTCAGGGAGAGAATCTACAGCCAATGGGGAGGAAATGCTATTTCATTCATATTTATCAGACACATATTTCAGATGGTGAACTATGTTACAGAGGGAAAAGGTTTTTTATCTAGGACTCTCATGGACCCACCCGTTGGGAGACACAGCTCCCTTCGCCAATCCTTCAGGAATGGGTCTGGGGTTCAAGGAGGAATTAGCTGCGGGTAGATGGCCTGGGGCCCATGCCCTCCCCCTGCCCCAGGCTGCTGGCCAGGCTGGGACACCTCTCCCAAGCACACCCTCCTGCGCGCTCAGACTAGCCCCCAGCGTGCTTGGCAGTCAGCATGTACCCCAATGCACCCACCCGTCCAAGGAAGAGGCTCCTGGCCAGCACAGTGGCGTTGCTGAGGCTGAGATCTGGTGAGAGGCACAGCAGCCAGGTGCAGAGCCGCAGGAGACCTGTGTCCGAGAGCTGGGGCAGCTGCAGCTGGTCACAGAGCAGGCCCACCTGCAGAGCGGCAGGACAGGGACACTCGGCGTCTCTGCCAACGGCAGCAGAGGGCTAGGGCAAGGACACTCCGGGGGAAGGGAAGGCTGAGAGAGCTGCCCTACGGGGTGGAGCCAGGGCTTAATACTAAACCCAGTCAGGTGCCCTTGCCCGAGAGACCAAATCCAACAAAGTTCCCCTCCCACAATTCTATGAGGCAGGGACACACAGTGAAATGGGAAAAGGCTGGGGAGATGGGATGTAAGCTCAGGGCCAGGTGATCGTTCCGGACTCACCTGGCCGGGACTGCATTCGTGGAGAAACTGCAGCTCAACTGTGGGAGCATCCTCCAGACCCTCCAACCCCTGGGAGGCAAAGCCACATCAGGCCCGGCGGAGTGACGGTGACAGGTCACCGAGGCCACCCCTTCAACGGCAGTGCGGGCTGAGGGCCCGGGAGGTGCTGCCAGCAGAGGAACCGCTGGGGCCAGACGCCATATCTGCACCTGGGCCCAAGATGACTTGCAGCGACTGTCAGCTCTTCCTGCAAGCCCTACCCCTAGCAGTCTGTACCTCGCTGCCTGGCCCCCTGAGCCTCAGCACGGCTGCGGTCCAGGAAGGTGGAGAAGGCAGGGCCACTCACCTCCCCGAAGGTCTTGAGCAGCTGCTGCAGCCGGGGAAGCTGGTCCTGCAGGAGAGCTCAGTCACCACCAAGCCGCTACCCGCACAGCGTGGCCCCAAGCCCACTGCCGCTCCCCTTCCTGAGAAGGCCCAGGCCGGAGGAGCTAGTGGGCACAGGTGATTCAAGAACATGAAGCCTACACCTTGACAAGAGATTAAGAACTCAAACTAGACAAGGGCCCTGCAAATCCAGCAGTCTCCACCTTCTCTGCATCCACCCTAACGGGTGGACCCAGCCTTGGGCATGGGAGCCGGCTGGATGGTGGCTTCATGCCCCCCCCCCCTCCGGACGATGTGGTGGGTGGCTCCGGAGCCTCTCTGCCTGACCAGCACCCTCAACCTCGGGTTATAGATCGTTATGTCAAGGGTTTCCCACCTCCCATAACTCCCTCCCCAGTCTGTAGAGCGGCGACTACATTCTCCTAACCCGCTGCTCCTGCCCCTGCTCCACGGCTACAGTCATCCAACTGGGAAAGTGCCCCAACAGGCTTTTGCCCCGATTAACCCCGACTCCTGAGGGATCACTCCAACCCAGCCTCCTCACCCTGGTACCTGGATAGCTTTGGGCAACTCCAAACTCTCAGCGGGTCCCTTCGTGTCCTCCGGACTCAGAGCAGCCTCCACAGGCTCAGCCCCCACGCCAGGCTGGTCCTTCACGGGCGACGTGTCTCCTCCAGCCGCCAGGGTTCCCAAAGGTTCACGTTCAGCTTGCTCCTCCTCGCGGCTTTCCTCCTCGACCCTTTCCAAATGCCGCAACCTTTTGGGGGCCCTCTCCCCCTCGGGACTGGCAGGCTCTCCCTCCGGCCCCTTCCGTTTCCCAGGCCGCTGGGAGCACTTGTCCTCCTCCGCCTCCTCCTTTTCCTCTTCGGGGTCTGGAGGCTGGGTCAGCTGCAACCCCCTGCCCCCGGGACTCAGCCGCCTGCACAGGTCTCGGAGCCGACTCTGGCAGCTTCTGGACAGCGGGGACGCTCCCTCGGCGGAGACCCCGCCGTCCAGGTCCCTTCGCAGCAGTTCCCCCAGGGCCCGGAGCCAGGCATCGGGGTCGGGGCGTGGGTCCTGCCTTGCGATCTGCAGCAGAGGGAGCAGCCTGTTCTCAGGCAGGGAGGGCCTCACAGCCATCAGCAGGGACATCAGGTTCCGCTGGCATAAGCGAGGCAATCGCAGCAGCAGAGGCTTCCTGGGGCCAGAGGGAGGTAAATAGTTAAGAGTCCTATTGAGCCCAGGTGATGTGGCTCAGTGGACTGAGCATCATCCCATGCACCGAGAGGTCATGGGTTCGAGCCCCGGTCATAGCACATGCCCAGATTGCAGGCTCGATCCCCAGCAGGGGTGTGCAGGAGGCAGCCCATCAATGTTTCTCTCCCATCAATGCTTCTCTCTCTCCCTCTCCCTTTCTCTCTCCCAAAAAACAAACCATCAACAAAAACTTAAAAAAAAAAAAAAAAAAAGAATCCTATTGAGAGAAACACAAGGCAAACTGGGCAGAGCTGGAGGCTGGATGGCCATGGACGGGGGACTGCAGGGTGTGTGCAGTGCGGCCTGTGGCCGTGCTCCACTTGCCATGCCCTGGAAGTCACAGGGGGCCTCTGTCCAGCTCTGCTGTCCCTTTTACAGGGACAGTGCTCTCCTCACTGCGCCCCGGCACCAGCGTGGCGCTAGCCCTCCGCGCTTGGTGCACACTTATTGAGTGGTGTGACTGAGAATGCCTGTCCAGAGATCGGCAGGGCGCTGTGGGCGGAGCAGTGCCGCTGTGTGTAGTGCTGTGAAGGCACAACCCCCGATGCTGTGTGACCTGCGGCTTGTCGGGGAGGCAAGCGAGTCACGGGTGCACCCAGCCCACCGCCCGCCAGGCCTCTGCTCCGCTCGGCGGAGCTGTGCAGCACCACACACTGAGGGCCTGGCCGTGTGCGCCAGAGGAAAAGCGTCTTTTCTTTGTGGAAAACAAACACTAAGTAAAGAGAAAACTAGAGTGTAAGTTGGAATGATGGTCGATTTGTGGTGAAAGATCCTGGGAGCAGAGGTGAGGAAGAGACTATTGAAAGGACTTTTACCTTTTTTGGGTCCACGGACCCCCTTATCAGAATCTGTTAAATGTATGAAATAAAATGCATAGAATTACAAAAGAAACCAGTGATACTGATGTACAGTTCTATCTAGAGATCTTGGGTTAGGTCTCCCCTCCCCCTATTCTGCCCAGAAGCCAGCCTGCTAGAAAGACATTTCTATAGCCTCCAATTTGGGGGTTTTGAAAGATCTCTTTCATCTCATGAAATAGATTCGAAGTGGAGTGTGGAAGGAAATATAAGAACTTCTGTTACTACTTATCAAAAACACAAGAAATTAAGTATTAAAAAAATTTTTTTTTTAAATTTTGGATTCAAACCCATGCAGTTTGGATCCAAATCACTTTGTATTGATTTCAGAGAGGAAGGGAGAAGAGATAGAAGCATCAATAATGAGAGGGAATCATTTGCTTTCTGCCTCCTGCACGCCCCCCACTGGGCATGGAGCTGGCAACCAATGACCTTCTGGTTCAGAGGTCCACACTCAACCACTGAGCCATGCCAGGCAGGCTATTACAGAATTTTATTTTATTTATTTATTTTATTTTTATTTTTTAAAATATATTTTGATTTTTTACAGAGAGGAAGGGAGAGGAGAGAAATAGAGAGCTAGAAACATCGATGAGAGAGAGACATCGACCAGCTGCCTTCTGTACACCCCACACCAGGGATGTGCCCGCAACCAATGTACATGCCCTTGACTGGAATTGAACCTGGGACCCTTCAGTCCGCAGAATGACGCTCTATCCACTGAGCCAAAATGGTTTCGGCTATTACAGAATTTTAATATATGGATTGGCCCCCATATTCCAGACTCCAGCCTACCTCTGAGGTAGGGGTGTCCAAGGGTGGAAGGCGGGCTCTTCAGAACCTAGAGGCTGCAGGTGGCACCTCACTCGCTTTCTAAAAAATGTTATTTTATTTACACAGACACACATATACATACATATACATAAATATATATATTGGAGATTGAGCCTGCAACTGGGCATGTGCCCTTGACCAGAATTGAACCTGGGACCCTTTAGTCTGCAGGCCAACACTCTATCCACTGAGCCAAACTGGCTAGTCAAATACACACACACACACACAGTATATATATATATATTTAGTCTCAGCTACCTCCTGCATGTCTCCCACTGGGGATTGAGCGGGAAACCCAGGCATGTGCCCTGACCAGGAATCGCACCATAACCTTCTGGTTCATAGGTTGACATTCAACTGCTGAACCACACTGGCCAGGCATCACTCAATTTTTGTACTTTCTGTGTATTTTAGTTAACTATGATAGTTAAGTGCATTTATGAACACAGTATTCTTTTTTAAAGAAAATGAAACCCCCACAAAATGGATACAGACTTATGACACCTGAAAAGTGAATACCAATAAGGGAAGCACAACCAAGAAAGAAAATGGCAGAGCTGACACTGCTGCTCCTAGTGGGAACTGTCAGCAACATAAAGAGAGGGGGGAAAGTTCACCCCAAAGACTAGCAATGATCAAGAACAGCATCCCCAGCCCTAGCCATTTGGCTCAGTGGGTAGAGCGGCAGCCTGTGGACTGAAGGATCCCAGGTTCAGGGGGTGTGCAGGAGACAGCTGATCAGTGATTCTCTCATCATTGATGTTTCTATCTCTCTCTCCCTTCCTCTCTGAAAATCAATAAATATGTGTACATATTTTTTAAAAAGGAATACCATCCCTGCCCGGCGGTGTGGCTCAGCAGTTGAGCATCAACCAAGGAACACAGAGGTCACCAGTTCCACCAGTCAGAGCACACGCCCAGGTTGTGGGCTCGATCCCCACTGATCGTGCAGGAGGCAGTCAATCAATGATTCTCTTTCATCATTGACATTTCTGTCTCTCTCCCTTCCTGAAATCAGTTAAAAAAATATTTTTTTAAAAAAGAACACCAGCCCTAAAAGTGATCTTGCCCTAAAATGTGATGCTTTGAAAAAAGGATATAAAGCCACCACAACCAAATGTTTATTGGCATTTACCTCACTTTAAAGTTTAATTTTTGCATACTTTATTAGGTATTTCAACATAAGTACACTTTATAGGTAAGCATGCCTACACTGAAGGCACGAGTTCGGTATTTTCAGAGGTGGAATGTGCTGTCACATTCTGAGTGGCCAGGCCGGTGCCCAGGGGGTCGAGCGTCCTGGGGTACACACACCGCGAGGCTGGGGGAGTGGGGAGTGGGGTCAGGGCACATACGGAGGCGCCTGCGGATCCCTTCCAGGATCCCACCTGGGCGCGTACGGGAGGCAACCGGTGCATGTTTCTCTCCCCCACCCTTCCTCTCTCTCAAACCAATGAACACATCCTCGGGGGAGGATTTTTAAAAATCGGTGTGAGTCCACCGACTTACAATTATCCCTTTACCCCCGGCCGCAGGGCCCCGCCCGCAGCGACCACACAAAGTGAGGAACTCAATGAACGCCGTGCGCGCGGGGCCCTCTCCTCTCCCGCCCGGCGCAAGGGGAGGGCCCGCGGGGACGGGGACGCGGCGCCGGCGCTACTTACAGCCGCAGCCGCGAGTCCGGGCCCTCGGCCACCGGCTCCTCCGCGCACAGCGCCTCCAGGACGCGGCCCCAGGCGAAGGGCTCCCCGCGGCGGCCCAGCGCCCGCAGCGCCCCCAGGCCGCGCCGCGCGCCGTCCGGCCCGGCCTGCAGCGCCCGCAGCAGGAGGCGGGCGGGCGCCTCGAGCTCGGCCCAGGGCGCCTGCTCCGCGCTCTCCGCCTCCGGGGCTGCCATGCCCGGACCCGCGCCCCACCCCACTCGGCCTTCGCTCGGTCTCCGGCTTCAGCCCGCGCGCCGCACTCCCTCCTCAGTCAGCCCGGCCCGGCGCCCGCCAGAGACACACGGGGTCTGAGAAGGGAGGAGGATGGGCGTGGCGCGGGAGGCCGGAAGGGGCGGGACCCGCCGGAGAGTCCAAAGACGGGACTAGAGCCCACTCCTGGAAGGGGCGGGGCCACAACCTAAGGAGGGTCGTTTGTGGGCGGGGTCACACCAGCGATGGGGGCGGGGCAGGGCCCGGGGCTGAGCGCGAGGCAGACCGGAAGGGGCGGGGCCAGTCGGAGAGTCAAATGGGAAGCCAACTCCTGGAAGGGGGCGGGGCCACAACCTAAGGAGGCTGTTTGTGGGCGGGGCCACACCGGCGATGGGGGCGGGGCGGGCGGGGCAGCTCTGCTACTGCCCTTAACCTTCCTCCACTGCTTTGGGAAGTGGGAGGGCGGGGTGCGGAGTGGATGTCCGGGGTCCTGTTGTACTCCAGGATCCAACCACATTTAATTTTATCTGACGCCCATGTTGCTTGTGGACCATGGGCTTTGTGGTAGGATTTGATCACAATTTACCCTCCCCCATCGTCCTCTCCAGGAATCTTTGATGTATAAACATCCCTGAGAATGGGGTCGCAGTAAAAGCTATGCCCTCTCTGTGGCCAAAGGCTTTGCTTGGACTTCCTCCTGAAGCAGCAGCAGCAGCCTTGCCCTGGTTATTTATAAGGGACTAGGGCCATAGTCCGCAAGCTCATTAGTCAACAGTCCTATATCAGCAGCACAATTGAAATTTCTTTTTAAAAAAAATATATTTTATTGATTTTGTACCGAGAGGAAGGGAGAGAGAGAGTTAGAAACATCAATGAGAGAGAGTCATTGATCAGCTGCCTCTTGCACACCCCCTACTGGGGATATGCCCGCAACCAAGGTACATGCCCTTAACTGGAATCGAACCCGGGACCTTTCAGTCCCCAAGCCGACGCTCTATCCATTGAGCCAAACCGGTTTCGGCAGAAATTTCTTGAGAGACAAAATTTTTAAACTTAAACTTCTTCTAACGCCACTTCTTCAAAATAGACTCGCCCCGGCCGTGGCATTTTGTGGAAGAGCCACACTCAAGGGGCCAAAGAGCTGCCATTTGTGAGCCACAGGACTAGGGTGGGCCACCTCCCAGGGTTTCCATTGAAGAAAATCTGCTGGAAGAGGCAGGCTTTGGGCAAAGGGAGGAGCAATATTGGGATTTATAAGAAATACCCATGTTTGATTATTCAGATTACTGAAATATACTTGTCTTCATCCACAGTTCCTGGCTTACAGCTTCCAAACCCTTCAAAGTTTCTTGTGACAAGAGCAACAAAGGTGTCTCTGGTTACGTTAATGAGGTGACTTTTGGATCCCACCCAATAGCAGACAAAACTAGATTTAGACAGACTTTCAGTCCCACTCCTGATTCCAGGAGGGAAAAAGCGGGGGCGGTGCTTGAGGTCCAGTCAATCGCCAATGGCCAATGAGTTAGTCAATCATGGTTGCCTATTGAAGCCTCCTAAAAAAGAACACCTTGCCGAAACCCGGTTTGGCTCAATGGTAGAGCGTTGGTCTGCGGACTGAAAGGTCCCAGGTTCGATTCCGGTCAAGGGCATGTACCTTGGTTGCGGGCACATCCCCGGTAGAGGGTGTGCAAGAGGCAGCTGGTCGATGTTTCTAGCTCTCTATCTCTCTCCCTTCCTCTCTGTAAAAAATCAATAAAATGTATTTTTTTAAAAAGAACAAAAAAAAAAGAACACCTCCTGGCCTTGTTCCTTGAGCTTCCAGGTTGGGGAACCAGAACACTTTCACCTTGCTGGGCCCCAAACTCCAGCACCGAAACTTCAAGACCTCGCCCTCTGTATCTCTCCACCTGCCTGTTGATTCACGTCCTTCAGTTTCCTTGCTAATGAGTCGGTAACCTAGTGAGCGTATGGGTTTTCTTGAGCCCTGTGAGCTGTTTGAGAAAATTAATTGAACCCAAGAAAGAGCTCATGGGCTCTCTGATATGAAGCCAGTGGGTAGGAAGCCAGGGGTGGGCCTGTACGACTGGCCTCTGGAGTGGAGGGTGGGCTGTGGACTGAGCCCGTGACCTATGGGATCTGATCCTATCTCCGGAGCAGGTGGTAGCAGAATTGAGGTGGCCTCTCAGACTCCTGCTGTTTGAGAGCCGCCTGCTGGTGTGGGGAAGCTTCAGCCCATCACTCACTGGAATTGAGTTGCCAAACCCTCCGGAGGGATCAGTGTAGAGGACAGGAACAAAGGGAGAGGGAAGAGCACCACAGCTCCCCATCAGCCCCATTAGGGTGTCAGCTTGTGTTTCACATCTTCCAAACTTTGCTGCCACACACACACACAAATACACACACATTCATTCAACAAATCTTTTATTTTTTAAAAAAAAATATATTTTATTGATTTTTTACAGAGAGGAAGGGAGAGGGACAGAAAGTTAGAAACATCAATGAGAGAGAAACATCGACCAGCTGCCTCCTGCACATCCCCCACTGGGGATGTGCCTGCAACCAAGGTACATGCCCTTGACTGGAATCAAACCCATCAGTCTACAGGCCGATGCTCTATCCATTGAGCCAAACGGGTTTCGGCCATTCAACATATCTTTACTGTGCACCTAGGACTGGGGATTCAGGAAACAAACAAACAAAGACCCTTGCTCACATTGTTGCTGACACTCAAGTGAGGAGAGACAGATACTGGGTAAATAATAGAAAGTTTGATGGTGATAGTGCTTCTAAGAAGAATGTAGCAGGGAAGGGAAAGGTAATTTTAAATAGGGGTCAGGTAGCCGTCTGGGGGAGACTGCTTCAGGCAGAGGAACAGCAAATACGAAGGCCCTGGGCAGAAATGTGGTGGAGGAGAGAGAGTACACTTGCTGGGAATTGACAGAAGATAAGACCTGAGAAAGAGCCAGATTTTATGAGGTTTGTTGTTTTTCTGGCGAGGACATATTTTCCTTGATTTTAGAGAGAGGAGGAGGGAGAGAGAGAAATATTGACCTGGTGGCTCCCCTACACATTCCAACCAGATTGGAACCCACAGCCTGGATATCTGCCCTGACGGGATCGAATCCACCACCTTTAGGTGCTGGGACACAACTCCCACCAACTGAGCCACGCACCCCAGGGTCACAGTGAGGACCTTGGCATTTCCTCCGAACAGTACAGGAAGCCATAGGAATGTTTTGAGCTGGATAACATTTCCATTGGAGCCAAATTTTAAATTTCCCCCCAAATAATTTCAAGGGAGCTGCTTTACAAAGGCCAAAATAGCAGCAAAGAGATTTTTAAAAAAAATATATTTTTATTGATTTCAGAGAGGAAATGAGAGGGAGAGCGAGAGAAAAATCAGTGATGAGAGAGAATCATTGATCGGCTGCCTCCTGCACACCCCACACTGGGGATCAAACCTGCAACCTGGGCATGTGCCCTGATCAGAAATCAAAACCTGCCTGGTTCATAGGCCAATGCTCAAATGCTGAGCCACGCCAGCAAGGCAGCAATTTTAACTTCATAGGAGATGTTTTCAGTCCTCAAACGACCAGCTGCTGCTGGGGCTGACCCTAACAGGTAGTGGGCAGAGCCAAGAGTGCCAAACAGCCTTCAATGCCTTGCCCATTCTCAACTACCAGCTTTACTTCGTGCTAACTGGTTCTAGTTTGTGCCCACCAAGTTCTGCATTCTGTTTGTTTTGTTTTGTTAATCCTCACCCAAGGATATTTTTTCGTTGAGAGTGGAAGGAACGGGGAGAGACAGAGAGAGAAACACGAATGTGAGAGATCTATCGGTTGCATCCTGCACTAGCATCAGGAATCAAGCCTGCCCCCGAAGTACATGCCCTTGATCAGAATCGAATCTGCAAGCCCTCAGTCCTCAGGCTGAGGCTCTATCCACGGAGCCAAAACAGCTAGGGCCTGTTCTGCATTCTTGACAACGCAAGGAGAGCAGGGAGGGAAGTTCTAAGCATGGATCATGAGCCCTGGGGGATCCTCTGCACGCTTTCATGGGGCCTGTGATGTTGTTACTATTTTCATAAATCTCACATGTTACTTGCCCTTTGCACGCATTCGCTGATGAGTGTTAATGCGTTTTCCAGAGGCTCAGTGACGGTGACGCTGAGCAGGCAGGAGCAGGAGCCGCCTGTGGGTGGGGGTGGGATACCTCGGATGGGAGGAGACACTCCTCAGACACCAGCACGGTGGCTTAGGTGCATTTTATTGGCTTTCTGTCAGAATCCTCTACAAAAGGGCAAAGTTAAAATCCAGGTCCCTAGAAGGCAGCGAGAGCCCTTCCCCTGCCGCCAGACCGTTCATGGAGGCGGAGAGGCGGCCGATTCCACCCCACTCAGTGGGCTCCGTTACCCCCGTAGATATCATACAAGCTTTACATCTGTTACAGACATGCGTTAGAAACCCCCAAAGGGGAAAGACCTACCATGTAGCACCCCCCGCCCCTCAGCCCCATCCCTACAGGAGCCCGCGGTCACAGGAGCCCGCCGTTAAGAACTGGTGCGATCCAGTAGGATTCTAACCCCAGGAAGGCCGTGGCCAGGTTGTAATCCAGGAACACCTGGTCCTCCAGCAGCGCTGAGGGGTACAGCACTGTGGGGTGCAGCGCTGTGGGGTGCAGTGCTGAGGGGTACACCGCTGTGGGGTGCAGCGCTGTGGGGTACGTGGGGTGCAGCGCTGTGGCGCCCAGCACCTGGGAGGGGAGAGGGCAGTGAGAGCTTAAGCTGTCTGCTGCAGCCTCCGTTGACTCAGGATGGGCGGCTGTACATCGCACAGAGCCGCCACGCTTAAGCCGTCATAGACAGCAGACAGGCTTTACACTGTCACAGCCGTGTGTCAGGAACCGGGACCCGCAGCCCCTCCCGCGCCCACACCCCCGTTACCATCTCACTCCCCGGGGCCGGCTGTGTGCAGTCTGGGCGGGG